CCAGAAGAAACCCCAATATCTTGGTCTCAGACTTGGTCTCGGATTGGGAAGCCAAGCCAGCACGCAAGCCTGAAAAATGTGTGTCAATGGCCTTTGGGCGCCCTTCTTTTCATTTCATTTTTTTCGGGGGCGGGGTAGACAGACTGGGGCGCATCCCCGTACGGATTTTCACTAAAATGAAAACTAAGAGTGAAAACGGCTTGGGTTTCTGTATTTATTTTTTGTTTGTTAATTTTTTGTTGTTCCTTTTTTTTGCAGCAAACAAAGCAAAAGAGGTGTGTACGCCGATTCCAACTGCAGGCCATGCATGACCCGCGCGTAATAGTGTCCCATCCTCCGGTTGTCTGATTGTCATGCTAAATGGGTGAGGTGAAACTACGACTGCGATTTTGGACGGCTGGGAGCATTGGCCAACTCCCCTAAAGAGCATTGCCTGTCTATTTTTTTAAACTTTTCTTCTCTCACTGTCAACTGTCAAACGAAATTTACACGTTTTCCTTCCAGCTGCTGCGCCTCACGAAACTCTACAACAAGCGGGCCAAATAGTCGGGGCCTCGAAGTCGAGACAAAGAAATGGGGAGTGCGTGAGGCTCTTTTAATGGATTGATTGTTTGGTAAAGTTAGCATGTTAATTGCCTTTATGGTGGCGATAGGCGGACAAAGCACACATAAAAGTCAAAAGCCCATTACCGAGTTCACTGCTGCTTTCCTATTCTATCAGTTGTGTGTTTCCAACGCATCCAAAACATGACCAGCATGACTCTCACTCTGGCAAAGACAATGGAAAGGAAACAAGCTTTGTCTTCTAAGCACTTGAGAATTATTGAAAGTAGAATTAGTTTATGCCATTACATTACCTAGAACTAACACTTAAACTGCTTGTTTTTGCAATTGATTTGTGCAATTAGTATAATTGTTTTCAGCTGATCATCTATTTTGTAATGCAAACTAGGCTTTTTAGAGTAACACAACACACGACATTATTAAATACAAGGTACCAGCGGGTTAAGAAACCCCATTTTATAGAAACGGAAATGATCGAGGCTGCCGAAACAATTCAATTAAGCGCCTGCCTGCCTGCTCCTCTTGCACATCTGAACGATCGGAGCCCCATCGGAGTTAGCTTCTACCTGCTGCTGGCCCGTCTGCCTGGCTGATGCGAATTGAAAACAAAACAAACAGAGCTTAGACTTCTCAACTCGCAACAATGCGGTCGTTGGACGAGCAGGAGCGCAGCAGGGGCGCTTAATATGCAGCCAGCGTAGCAGCCGGCCGAGCAGCGGACCTGGTGGGGATCGGAGGGAGCTGGAAACCCGTACAGACCCAGCTGCTGCTGCTGCTGTCTTTCGTTCTGGCCGTTGTGCTCCGGCTGTCGCTCAACTGATCAACTGGTTTAACAATAAAAACAAAGCTCTGGCGGCGTTGGCGTTACTTTAACGTTTAACAGAAACGAAAAAGTTGCCGTCTTTTTTTGTTGCTTCTCTCACACGCTGCCATCGATTGTCGGGGCTTGGCTTTCTTTAAGGAAAATAAAAAAAAAAACAACACACAAACATATAAAAGCTATAAAAAATGGTAATTTGTACGCTTTGCCTTTTTTCTTCGCTTCTTGCTCAGTCGTACGTCTCACACGCGCTTCTAATGTCTGGATACGACACATAATCTCATACAACATCCAAGCCAACGAAAGATGATGATGGCATATAAAAGCACACGAGTTTTTCAATTGACTTGGAAAGTGGCAGGCGGCAAAACAGCATGCAGCAAAAATGGGGCGGACACCAGCGAAAAGTAGGCGTGTTGGGCAACAACAATGGCCCACTGTTTTTTAGCTTTCGGCTTTGCCACACTTTTGATGAATTAGTCGTTGAGGGGGCCTGGAAAATTGAGTTGCAGCTGCACTTGGTGGAAAACGCTGGCAGGGGGTGGGGCTGGGGGCCAAGGAAGTTCATTGAGCCGGATCATACCCAGCTGAGACTCATTAAAACACCACTTGAACCACGCTTCGTGTTATACCGCCTCTAAGTGAGGGTCAATAAGTAGAGTTGTTGGCTGATTTTCGACTTGAAGCCAATTGATGCCTTTGTGCAATGCAATTGGTGAGAAGTGGAGAGAGCGCTTGATTTGATCGGAGCAGAGGCTTGGGCTGGGTAATTGATTTAATTAACAAACGGACAAAATCACAAAAAGATTACTTCCCATACCGGGAATCGAACCCGGGCCTTCTGGGTGAAAGCCAGATATCCTAGCCACTAGACCATATGGGATACTCTGTGCTATCCCCTATCTTATATAATGATGCTGGGCTCCCCCTTCTACTGTGAAAAATGAAAGAATTTACAAAACAATGAAATGCTTGGGCATGTCTAATTTTCGGTTTAACAACTTTAAGTACTCTGGCTCTTTGAGCTTTGGCCGTTGTTAACGAAACCGTTTTTCTCTTCTTCGTCTCTTTGGGTTTCTGTCGTAAGCAAACATCAGCAATTGACAATCTGGTCGAAAGGCAACTGAATCTCTTTGCCCCCCTCCAAACAGTCTGAAATTATTTCGTAGCGTGCCCGATTGGCATCAATTTTGGTGGCGCTAGGCAATTGAAAACATTAAATAAAGCAAACAAGAGCCAAAACAAATAAGTTTGCTAATTACGGATATAACATGTAGCTATAAAAAATATTTACATCAACGGTGGTGGTTAATACACGGGGAACTCATTCGTACGCACTGTTTTTCCTACATGTGCATGGCTTAGTTAAAGATAAATGGCTTTCACGAATAAATAGAGTAAAAAATAATAATTCAAGAGCAAAGATTAAAAAATAAAAGAAAAAAAATTTACTTCCCATACCGGGAATCGAACCCGGGCCTTCTGGGTGAAAGCCAGATATCCTAGCCACTAGACCATATGGGAGGCTGACTGCAGGGCAGCAGACTCACATTTTGTTAGCAAGCATTTGGGTTCTTTGCGTTCTGAACAAATTACTCATTGCAACCAAATAAGCTAAACAAGAACAGGTTTTAGACTTCCCAAATTTAATTAAACAAAAACAAGAAAATAAATTCATGAAAATACAACAACAAAAAAATATATCAAACTTAAGCAAAAAAGTTTCCCATACCGGGAATCGAACCCGGGCCTTCCGGGTGAGAGCCGGATATCCTAACCACTAGACAATATGGGACTTGATAAAGGTCCCGTCAAACTATGTTCTCAACTCGCTCCTTAGGACAATGCTTAAACATTTTCTACTTTTAACAATGCTGCTTGCCCAAGCATTGCAACATACTGGCAAATAGCAGCAGCAGCAGCCAGCAACAACGACAAAACGTGTGGCAAGCAATGGCAACAACAATAAAACGGACACAATGCCTTGACTTGACTGAGTTTTTAAAGTCTTTTTTCTTTGCTTTAGACACGGAAAATTGCTTTTCATTGTTGCAGAAACCGATGTTTGCTTGCTAGCTGTTTTTGTTTATAAGCATTTGATTGCTGCTGCTGCTGCTTTGTTGTTGTTGAGCTTGGCAAACTTTGAAAAATCAATTTTTAATTGCAACAAATTTGAGAGCTCTGCGGGGACCGACAGGCAAATTGCGCTTTGGCTAAAAAAGGCAAATTAACGTTTTTTTTAAGATACGAAAACAATTGGCATTTTGAGTCAGAAACCAGTTTAACGGTATCGAACATCAGGCATCGAACAGCTGCATTATCTTTTGAGGAAATGCGCCGAAACATGTCACAGAGGAGGCAATAAGTCAAAATCTCGACGAGCAGGCAGAGCCATTGAACCGTTGTAATTAGCATATAGCTGTGTTCGTGAGTGCAACAGAGAGGACAATAGGGGCACTTTCGATTATTGAACTTGTCAAATACTTCCAGTGTGTGTGTGCTAATTTTGAGAGTGTCTGCGCAACAAGCGTAACGGTTGCCAGGCGGCCCTGGCATTTGTTTATTGTTTTTCTTTTCAGCTTACCTTTTTGCGATGATGCTTTTAGCTGGAAATCTTCTCCTCTTCCTGTGGTGCAAAGCGAAAAATTAATTTCATTAGAAATCTCTCTTTAATGCGAATCCGACACGATATAATAAAACTACAAATAAGTGTGTGTAAACAAGATAAGCGACACCGCGAAAAAATAACACGAGATATCTAAGGCAAGGGTGCAAGAGAGAGCTCGAAACGCGAGAAACGAGAGAGAGACGACATCCCCCACGGCTTGTTGTTGACGGAAACTCCTGGCGCAAAAACAACAACAACGACACGGTAATAGTTGCGACAATTGCGGGCGCCTTTTTATTGATTTTTACTACTCGCTACACAGCACGATATTTCTTCAATTCGAACAACACGCTTTCAATTTATTTTCCAATTATTTTATTTCTTTTTTGCACAGCAAAGAAACACAAAAGAATTTCGCACACACCAACACGAAACTCACACTCACACTTACACAAACGCGCGCTGCGACTTCAATGTCAACTCCACTTTTTTTCGCGTTTATATATCTTTTTCGCACTTCATACTTTGTTTATTGGTCGTGTGCTTTTACGCGGGTGCAGTGGCTGCAAATGAATTACCGTCAATCGCGAATCTTCAGGTGGAAGAACACAGGTACGCGGAGATACACCCAGGCGCGCTCTTTTTTCCAACAAGAACAAAAACAGTGTGGCCGCAAACACCAAACAGCGTTTTGGCTTGTGAATTACTGACAATGTGACCAGACCAAAAATACTGATCAGCTGTTTGTCATTTAGGCAGCCGATACGAAGCGCGCATTTTAAAGGCATAATGTTATCGTTATCGAAAATACTCATGTCGAGATTATGTAGAAACCAGGTAAAGTTACAGCCAACCAATCGTACATGTATACGCGGTAAGAAAGTGTGCAGTAAGTTTGTTCAGTTATTTAAATGTTTTGTTGTTTTTTTAATCACTCAAATTCAATCTCCAATGAAATTAAAACACATTTTTTCCTTAATATAGGTTATTTATTTAGAGACCAAGTTTTTAGCCTGAGTTCCTGTGCCGCCTCCTGAAGCAGTGATTCACATTGGGCTTAACCCCCTGGCAGCGATTGTTCCAGGCCACCCAGGCGGAGAATCCCTGCTGTTTCCTGATGTACTTGGCGCAGGCAATTGAGTACCTGATGTCGTCGCTTAGCAGCAGGCGACAGGGCAGCCGGCAGAGATCCGTGGAGGGACGTCCGTCCGCGGGCTTGCACCAATAGCGGTCGTTGATCTGGAACAAACCCCAGTCCACGGATCCGTCAGCATTCGAGGGATTGATGGCCTTGGTGTTGAAGGAGCTCTCGCCTTCGACGAGGCACAGCCAGTCGGGTAGCTCGTTGTAGGGCATCCCATAGCGATAGAGTTTCCTGGCCAAACTGCATCGGCCCACCTGACGGGAGCTTGCCGGTGGTGGCGATAGGAACAAGGATAAGAGCAGAACCAGCGGCAACGTTCGCATCTTTGGATGCATAATACTCAGCTTTGATTGGGGAACCGTGGCTTTTATAGCCTGGCTTTTGGGCCAATCTAATTTTTACAAGCACTCTTACTTGGGACAGCTCTGAAGTGTGGCCCACACTTGAGCATAAATTATGAGAACACTTGTCGGCAAAGTTTGGAAATGTTTTGCAAACTCTTAAACCTATAATTAAGTTTTAAGGTTTAAAATAAACCTCTCTCAACTGTTAATTTTTTCGAAATGAAAGATGTTTTAATATTTTCTTTAACAAATCAAGACAAAATTTGAATTTTACTTTGGCCCGTGCAGCTAAAAATATGCCAAAGCTCTTAGCTTTTTAATTAGCATTTCAATAAAATGGAATGAACAGCAGAACAGGCTATATATAAAATTTATTGGAATGGTAAAAGAGGTAGAATGGTAACTACTTCAGAGCTTTTTAGAATTATTAACTAGATTTCATTTTAAAATAGTATTTTATATACTTATCCGATAAAAAGTCTAATGAAACACATTATCATTGGAGAAATTAAGAATCACGTTTTTTATAATCATGACACTTGACAATATAATTTGTATACTCTTGGAGGGTATTATAATTTTAGTCAGAAGCTTGCAAAACAGTGAAGGAGTCTTTTCCGATTTTTAAAATTATAAATTGAGTATTTAGATTTATTAACCCAATAAAAAATAAAATAGAAGTTCTTTCTGAATTAAAATTAATGCTTTTTTGAGTTATGAGTTATTTTAACACTTGATTTGTTGAAAAAAAGGTCATATAAAAATACCGGTAAAAATTATTTCCGGTTTGATCCTATATGCAATTGCAAACTGCAATGGTACATAAATATAAAATTCTCTAATATATCTCAACCTTGCCAGTCAGTGTCGAATCGACTTTCGATTCTTGATCTTGGAGCAAGCAGGCCGATCGATCCGGCCAGTTTTGTTAATATATGGAGTGGGAATCGCGCGCCATTTAAGCGAGCGGGGCATCATCTGCCGCTTGGCCCCAGTTTCACTTTCAATGAGTTCTTTTGTGCTCTCAGGTATTATAACCATATATATTGACAGCTGGAAGGGGTTGGAGCACTTGAGATCGCGTGTGCGCGCCAACAATGGAACAATCAACGGACAGAAAAGTCGTTCAACTTTCGGACATCTTCTTGTCTTGTTACTTTGAACGATGCGTACAAAAATAGGCAACAAAATCTATAATCTATACTCTTACTCTAAGGTTCTAAGGTTCTGGGTCAACGAAGGTCCTGCATTTCCTGGTCGGGCAGCGGTGGCGGAAACTTGATGTCCTGTTCCGCGGGCTGCTGATATCCCTGCTTGGGGAGGAACTGCCGCTTTCTGGAGGTGGGACGCACGACAATGTGAGCCACGCAGGTGCAAAGGGCGACAATGGCAAAGTATTTAAAGCTTTCCCGTCCGCCCAGACTCTTAAGGATCAGTCCGCCAATCAAAGAGCCAATGGAGAAGCCGAGACCATCGTCAATGCCGGCCATTAGTCCTTGAACGGTTGCAGAAGTGCCCGGAGGCGCCACCGCCGAAGCATATGCCACGATGCAGGTGTAGCACAGGGCGTATGTGATGCCCTGGAAGAAGAGCTCCACGCCCACAAGGTACCAGGGATTCGGGATCCAGGCGACCAGCGAAAGTCGCACTGCATAGAAGAAGAAGCACATGCTCATGCAGTGGACATAGCCAAGCTTCTTGATAATCTTGCCGCTGTAGAAGAAGAAGGGCACCTCGGCCAGACACTCGGCGGCCACGACCAGTCCCTCGATGAGCTTGATCTGATCCATGTAACCCGTATCCTTTGCCACCTCCTCCAGGTGCCAAAACATGAAGTAGATGATGAAGGAGTCAATGATCCCTGCCATGGTGGCAAATAGCAGGAAGACGACGATGGGTGGCTGGCGTACCAGCTGCCAGACATCGCTCCAAATGGACTCGGAGCCGCCCAGCTTCGGCAGTTTCAGTTTGGACACACTAAACAAATCCAGCAGGCTGAACACACACATGATTATCAAGGCCGGAGTGAGGCTCTTCACCGCATCCGAGGTCCACCAATTGACCATGATGCCTGCCAGAAGAGCAGTGGCTCCAAAGCCTAAGGTACCCCACACCCGCTGGGCTCCGTACTTATCCTGTTCGGCCTCACCCAGCAGGTCAAAGCAGCAGGCATCCGATATAGAATTGACGACGTTAAAGCCAATGGTTCCGAAGAACAGGAGGAACACAAAAAGCCAGAACTTTCCCGTGCCATAGATGCAGGAGCTGACATGCTGAAGCTCACAGGATGTATTCATCCCTGAGGGACTGGCCTGAGATGACGATGTGAGGCAGATGTGATAGCTATCGTTGCCATGAAGCATATTCTCGCTGAGATTCAGCCTTGCCTCAGAGGCTACAATCATAGCTGCATAGAGATTCTCTCCCTGACTGCAATCCGCCTCGTGAACTGTCTGGCAGAATGCTTTCGAGGAGTAGATCATGGGACTGCACTCGTGTAGATCCGTCAGCAGTGTCACATTCCAATGGACACTGCCTTCCTCCAGTGGGATGAAGTGCGAGTTTTCCGGCAAGAAATAGAAGCCGCCATAGGCGAGTGTCATGATTAGGATCAGCGACATAAAGATGAACTTTCGCAGGCTCTAAGGAAAGGTAAAATACTTGTTAATTTATAGTTATTTTATGTTTTCTAAAAGTCATTTCTCTTACCGTAAAATAATCCACAAGGAAACCCACCAGGGGCTTGGCCAGGACATATAGTATGGGCAAGACGGCCATTATATAGCCCATTACGTCTGGAGGAACACCGATTTGCTTGCCTATTACAACCAGTTGGGGGAGTATGGGTCCCATTGCTAAAATATGGAATATACAATTAATAAATGATGATAGTTTCATAAGATTTTTATTTGATAATATTCCGATTAATTGCGATTTTCTCAATCGAATATAAACATTGCATCAGGATTTCTCCTTTCGTGATTCGATAATGGCACAGATAAGAGAGTTGTATACGATAAGAAGTAATATACCAAGAACTGATTGGGATCACCGCCTAGTTCCGCGAAATTCCTTCTATTCTTAGATACCTTAAATCTATTTCCAAAACTCACCTGCCATAAAAAAGAAGAAATGCGCCTTGATGGGCAGCAGACGTCTGTTGAGTCGCACCATTGTTAATTAATGCATCAATTAATTATTGTCCAGTCTGTAGTTAATTAAAGGCTAAGCTCTGTTGTGTCCCAACAATGACACAAAGTATCACAGTTCAAATATGCCCATAAGGTGCTCCGCCCAGATAAGATCATAATAAGCGTTCGCCGTTCGACGTGGTCGGGGAAGAGTCTGTAAATAGCCGGCAAAATGAATGTAAATCAAGGAACTGTTAAAGGAATATCTAATCTGTATCTCCGTCCCTCACAGCAACCGATAAGAGCCAGACTTTATAGAAGCGCTGTAATCGTTAGCATAAAAGTTCAAAGAGATAAGGACAGAAAGCATAAGTATTAAGGCACCACAAATCTTATCTGCAACACCTTTAACTATTAAAGCTCACAGAAATGGCGATAAAGAAGTTTAGTTTTTAGGGCCTGCCATAATAAATATGCCTTTGGGGCATTTCATTTGCCGTGTGAAGATCCCCACTTTGTGGCTTCAACTCAATTAATTATTGCCTGTGATGTAAGGCCTCAATTGAACTTGACTTTATACGTAGATATTTATATATTATGGATTTAAGAAAACAGGTTTACAGGTAAGTAAACTTGGCACACATAAATTTACGATTTGTGTTGCCAAACCTAACATTATAATTAGCCAAACTTTACAAACATATATCATTAGTCAAGCACAAAATAACAAGCGCAGAAATCTCAAGTAAAATGGGATTTCTCAAGATATAAAGCAAGATTAACAACAAGGAAGCCCTAGTAATGACTGACTTGACCGTGTTAAGTGGCTGAAAACAATGGCTTTTCGCACTGCCTAAACTTTATATTGTCTATAGATTTGTTTATATAGTACTTAATTGATATTCTCGGAAACAATGAGAGCTTAACACCCACAAGTACTGTTGATTTTTCCCGTAGATCGTTGAGGAGAAGGAGAAATGGGCCTTTCGAACGCGGAGAGTGGCGGCCAGCGACTGAAGAAATTGCTGCTCCAACGCCTTGCAGTTCGTATGGAAACTGATAAGTCTGTCTGCTCTGTTTGTGACTGTGCCGATAAGGAATCAGTCAATCATATGGCACTGTATATAAGACGGATTGATAAAAGCCAGATTAGGTACAGATTCAAGTTCAGGTGGAAACCCTAGGAGAGGCTCTTCCTTAGCCCAGGTATTCCCCGGCGTCGCCCCCCATAGAGACAGTGCTAATCAATCAGTTTGCTATCCAAAAACCCCGCTTGACTCATCAGCTGTGCGTAGTTGATTAATATTCCAGTGTTTACTCGCGATCTCGTTCTGCAGCTTGGGCTCGGATCGCTTGGGATCGAGTTTTACTCGCTGACAGCGGAGAGGGCTGGCTTTCAGTCTCCGCCGATCTTCCAAAGCGCGAGGTTCGCTTTACAAGCTCAATCTAACCCACTCGACTTAATCCCGTCTTGCCGTCGATCTCTCGATCTCTCGCGGGTTGACGCAATCAAGAATGCATTGGCTCACACCGATTTTGGTGGGGCTGTTCGCCTCGTCCTTATCAGTGTCTCTGTTGTGCGTGGCTGTGGTGCCCCCGGACGATGGCAAATGTAAGTGGGGATTGGGATGGATTATCTGTACTCCAAAAAAGGGGCGGTTTTTAATTACAAATGTAAAACAATTTGTTTTGAATATTAATTTACTTGAGTGATAAGTGTGCTAGTGCTGGTGTGTGTGTGCTGCTAGCTCCTCAATTACTTGGCTATTAAAAACAAAATGACAAGTGTAATCAAGCAAGAAATAACTTAATGTCAAGTGTTTTATAGAGAAATGTTAGACAGAGAGGTTATATTTGAATATAACTATTAAACAAGGAAGAAAAAGCATAGAAAAGATCTATGTAATTCTGGTTTCCTAAAATCTCTCTTCAAGCTTTAATTTAAAAAGTAGTTTTACCCAAAAATCTTGTTTATAACTATACAATACTTAATTTTAAAACTTCCTTCCCCATCACAGACTGCAATTAAAAATCCACAAAAACGTAATCCATCATTATTAACTTTCAATCCCAAATGCACTGCGGGAGAGCACCAGCATCAGCAGCTGACCTTGGGCACTCCACATGACCGGCTGTAATCAAAAACCCGCTAGAGAAACAGTTTCACACCTCAAAAAAAAAACTAAAACCTGTCCCAACCTTGGAGCTTGCGTGTGCTCCACTGCCCAAAAGGTAGCCAGGCGCAGGCATAAGCTGCCTTGACTCTGTGCCAATTCTGCGAATGCAACCCAAGCCTGTCTTTAAGGTTTCCCACCTGAGGGGAATTTTTAATTTCAAAATGAAAAAATCCCAAGATAAAATCTTTTTCCGAAAACTGCAGGCTTTAAAAAGCTACCTAAAATAAATATAATCATAATTAATGCCGCCTGTCTGGAAACAGGTTTCTTAGCGGCTTACTATATACTTAATTTGGTGACCAAACTTAATGTATTCACTAGCTCCTCCCTCTCTATCTCCTACTTAGTACGGGTTTGCGTGGTGGAATCGCACGGCACTTATCGGAAAACCCCCAAGTTCTGTCCGCAACTGGAGGCAAAGAGCAACATCGAGTGCGTCATCGGAGTGGACCGGCTGGATTGCGTTCGACGCATCCACAAGGGCACGGCCCACTTTGGCGTTCTCAGCTCCGAGGATCTGGTGGCGGCTCGATGGGCTAGCGTAGAGATCCTGGTCGCCAGCGAGCTGCGTTCGCACGAGTCTAACTTTGAGTACGAAATCGTGGCCGTGGTGGATAATCAAGCAAATATTCATTCGGTTCATGATCTCCGACGAGCCAAGTTGTGTCATCCTGGGTATGGATTGGGAAATCACTGGACAGAGGTTCTCGCTAATGTAAGAAAACTTCAGAGTGGTTCCTGGAGTTGATATTAACCTTGGTTCTGGTTTTCTTTATAGTATTTTGAGGCCGCTATGGTTTCTAGGACTTGCAATCCTGAGCTGACCGTCACCGAGGATCGCATTGCCTCCACCTCGAGGTTCTTTGGCCCCAGCTGCAAGGCCGGTCCCTGGGTCCCAGATCCCAAGCAGGATCGCATCCTAAAGGGCCGCTATCCCTCGCTCTGCGAGATGTGCTACGATCCGGCCAGCTGCGATCAGACCGACAAGCATTGGGGACGACGAGGAGCACTATATTGTCTGACCAGCGGTGGCGGTAATGTGGGCTGGGCTCGTCTCGACGATGTTCGGAGTCATTTTGGGGTGAGTATTAAGGAAATGATTAAGAAGAAGCCTCAAGTAACCTTAAATTACTCTTTCTCCCCCTAGTTCTCTGGCATTACGGCTCAGGCTAATCCCTCAGAGTATAGCTACCTCTGTCCAGACGGGCATCTGCAACCGATGAACGCCACACAACCATGTGTTTGGGTAGCTAAGCCTTGGCCCGTGGTGGCTGCCCGTCGCACCCATGCCGCCCAGATCCAACGCTTGGTAACCGGACTAACCCACGATGAGCCGGACAGTTGGCAGAATGCGCTGCTCAGTCTGCTGGAGACATACCATGTGTTCACGGTGCCGCTGGACAATGTGATATCGATTGATGACTACCTGGACCAGGCCACTGCCTTCCAGTCAGCATACAGCTTCCCGGAATGCAACCCGCCACGTTCGATCGTCGTCTGCACAACCTCCATCATTGAGCACGTTAAGTGCTCCTGGTTGCAGGAAGCCTCGCAGGTATATGGCGTCCAGCCGAACATTCAGTGTGTGCGCACCATGGAGTTGGAGCAGTGCCTGGACAACACCAAGTTCAAGGGCACGGATGTGGTTGTGGTGGATCAAGAGATGCGGGTGAAGGCGCAAAGGGACTACAATCTGGTGCCCCTGCTCTATGAGTTCGCCGAGGACATGCACAATAGGTATGTGACCATTGCCTTGGTTCACAAGGATGCCAAGATCGAGAGCTTTAAGGATCTGCGCGGAACAAGGGCCTGCTTGCCATCGTACGAGGGAGCCGCTCATCTTGCCGTCCTGGAAACCATAGTGAATGCCACCGGCAAAGTGCACTCGCTGAGCTCCTACTTCCACCGCGACTCCTGCCTGTGGCATCCGCATCAGGGCCGGCAGTGTCCGCTGCACTACCAGGGCGACGAAGGCGCCCTGCGCTGCCTAGCCGAGGGTGGCGAGGTGGCGTTCCTCAGCTCCGATGTGTACAAGAAGTACGTGAGTGGCAATCTCACCGCCGACTGGGTGATGCGCAGCAACCATAAAGGCTTCCGCGTCCTGTGTCCCTACGGAGGCATCGAAAAGCGCTCCAGCTTTAAGTACTGCTACCTGCACTGGACCACCCGTGGCCACCTAATGACGCACAATTCTTCGCTGACACGGCACAACGAGATCTACAACTCGCTGAGGGACATGGATCAATTATTTGGCCGGAAGTATAAGAGCGAATCGTTTACGCTCTATGGCATCTTCGATAACAGGAACAATATCTTGTTCCGGGACACAACGGATGGACTGCTGGGTCGGCAGGAGCTGCACCGGGACAATGCCAAACGGGTAATGGAGCACATCTACGATCGGTATGCCACAACGCAGTACTACAAAAGCTTTGAGGAGAGTGGAGCCATGAAATACGGGCAGGACAGTGCAATAATGATTTTGCTGCTGTGTTTACTGGGAACGCTGTGGACGCGATTCGTCTAGTGATTAGGCACACAACCAAGCTCAAATCTAATCTTATTTATTGTGATATTACGCTAAATTTAAGTTAAGAATAAAAAGTAGCTTCAAGCAGGGCTGTATCACCAATTTAAATTTGAATTTGAGAAGCGATAACAGTAGAGTAATCGATAACCGTCGATGGTTGGAACAGAAGAGCTCTAACAGGGGTGGCTTATTTCTGCTGTATTTAAAACTGATTTTAATCTCATTTTTCCAGTTTATATAAATTAATTAACCAATTAAATTTAATTAAATACCTACCAGTTGAATTGCAAGTTGACAGCGCTTTCCAGCACTGACCGTCAATCAGCTGATTTTGTTATTCCTGTGCCTTTGTTGTTGCTATGTTATGTTGCCAAGGAAACAGGAAAACAAGGAAAATGTCACAACTGAGCAGCAACATTACAATTGATTAAATTTACGTGGCATTCCGACGTTAAATTAAGCAATTTAAAGAACAGTTTCGGTTAATAAAATGTCTAAAAATGCTACGCGAACCAGCAGCAAACCGAACGTAAGCCAAGCAGGGAACCGATTTAAATTTATTCAAAAGCTGGATACAAAAGCACTAAACGATCATTTGCCTTCATTGATTAGTACGCAGCCAGGGTTTTCACTTTTTTCCGCATTAATTTGCACTTCACAAGAGCCACAGCAAGCGGAGTAGCTGCACCTCTTCACTTTATCTTTTGAAACTGCCAGAAACTCCGTTTTTTAATTGTATTCGCCACGATAACAGCCACAACAGCGTTACTGCGAATTAGAGCACGCACCACCATTTTATTAATGCCGCAGATATATATAACAGCGTTCAATTAAAACCAATAAACCAACCGATCGCAACACACAGAGAAAATTCTTTTGTTTGGATTAGGTGGCCAGTGTTGAAAAGTCCTGTCAGTCAGTTCTGCAAAACCAACAAAAGCCGCTAGCATTTCAAAATTCAATTTAAATTACAGGCCCGAAGTGATGCATTGCCTAGGAAAGCCACAAAATTACCGGCAACAAGTGTGCCAACGACCACAACAGCCAGGGAATCAAAGGATCGGAGGTCACTGGTCAGGCAACCGGAAAGTCTGGAAAGTGAAAAAATTGCAAGGAAAACCGCAGCAACAGTTCTAACTTCGACCAGCAAAAAGCCGTTAAACACAACAAAAAGCAAAGAAGCAAGGGAACCCTTGGGCAAAAGAACCACTCCATCCCCAGGAGCATTGCGTGCTAGCAGCCGGCTAACACCCACGACAAGCAACCCGCCCTCCAAGACCAAGCCACCTGTATCCAAATCTAAGCCCAATGCTGTTCTGGACACTTACCACAGTGTCACAGTGGCCTCGCCACCGCAAAAACGCAGAGAGAAGGCAAAACAGGAGGAACCAGCTGCAGTAGAGGCCCCACCTCCGGCTCCGGCTAGAACCCGCACCTTCACGCGCACCCTGCAGCCGGAGGAAGTGGTGGTTCTTAAGCAAGAATCGAAAAAGCAACAAAGCGATGTGGAGAAGCACCCGGAAGTTGAGAAGCCCCCGGAGCCTGTCAAACAACCTGTGGCCTTTGAAGTCAAGTTCGAGGAGGAGAAAAAGTCCGATCAGGAATCCGATCACTATTCCGATGACTTTGAGTCCTACGAGTCAGATTTCGAGACAGATGCCAGCACGCCCGGGGAAGACGAAGGAGAAGAAGATGACAAGGAAGAGTCACCTCCATCCGAGGCGGATGTGGAGGAAGAGGAGGACGAATACGAGCCAGAGGTGGAAGAGGAGGACTCTGAGCCCACACAAAACCCCATTACCGTGATCCAGCGCGATAGGGATCAGGAGCGTAAGCTGGACTCCGGTCACTACGAGATGCACTTGCGTCGGAATCCTCTGCAGCAGCAGCAACATCAGCACTACGACAGCTTCGATACCAACTCCATGGCCAACTCAGACCAACTGGACTCCGGCATCAGCACTACAGGTGGTGTAGAGAAGCCCCAGGGTGGGGAAGATTGCGGCATCACCACCTACTACGGCGGCTACTCCGGTTTTGTGTCCCACCCCGTGATCAGTCACCGCGGGGAGGAGCTGATGGCCAAGCTACGCTTCGACCAGCTCAACTACCATCTGTTCGAAATGAAACCCTTGAGCTACGAGGGCTTCATGCAGAGTTACGGCAAGCTGAATGCCTGCCAGCTGGCCACGCAAACTGAGTCGCCCCACATGGACGGCGAGTGCCAGACACAGGAGGTGCACACACGGAGCAGCTGGACGCAGCATCCGCCGCACTATGGCGGTCAATTGGTGCTCAACTGTAGTGGTGATGCGGAGGGCGAGATGGAGACCCTGAAAGTCCAGCCTAGAGATGAGTACGAAGAGAGTCTCGCCCGTTTGGAGCGACTGCATCGCATGGAACAGGTACGCTCGCAGCAGCAACAGAGTCGGAGATTGGCCAAGAGCACGGATCTGGAGCGACTGAATGCGTTTATGCACAAGGCAGCCCTTCTGATGAGTCGGGTGTTGGATGGCAACAAGAACCAGAACCAGACTCACACTAGTAATACCAGAAATATACCCCTCCAAACTGGACTCTTGAATGCCCTTCCTGTGCGTCGCATCTTTGGAAGCTCTGCTGGCAATGGACAACTGGTGGTCACTGTTCACGAATGCCCACCGGAGAGCAACGTATACAGCGAAGATTTTGCCAACCTACTGATGGTTTGGTCCCTTACCAATCCCGGGCAGCCTTTGAGACTGCTTTCCACCTGGGCGGAGGTGAGCCGTGTGGCGCTTTGCAGCGAAGCTCCCGACATTGTGGTGGCCGGACTCCGGGACGGCAGTGTGGCTATGTGGGATCTGCGTGAAACGCACAGTTACTGCTCCAAGTTGGATGGCCATTTGACTCACTTTGCGGCCACACAGTCTGTGATACCCATGCTGGAGCAAATGCATCAGTTGCAGGAAGTAACGGCCGCCATAGATCTGGGAGCTGTGGTGGATGTGCGCAGCTTTCGATCTCCATCGAAGGGCGGAGGAGCCATGGCCACAGCGGGAACAACCTTCAAGGATGTGCAGGTAGGATACAGAAACCTTTTTTATCCTATTTAGTAACTCAACTCTTTCCAGTACGCCGCTCTCAATGACTCAGGCCTACTAACCATGTGGACTCTGGTGGAAGGAGCTTCATCTAGTAATACCAACGAGTTCAGCTCACCTTGGGCACGGGTTAAGCTCCTCCAAAGTGCCTGCTGTGATCTCAGGGGCTACCTGGAGCGACGCCTTCTGAAGAGCAATACAAGTGCTTATGAGAAGACCAAGAGCCTGTTTCAGGGTAACATCTACAGCGACGACCTGCTACGGGAGCTGAACGAGACCCAGACGCTGACCACCGCCCTGCAGGGACAGGGATTGCAGGGCATGCGCTTCACCAGCATTGATACCGGATGTGATCTCATCTACGTCTGCACCAACCGAAACTTTGTGCTCTGCTGCACGCGAAGCCTGAAACCGGAGCGCTTCACCAGGATAGCGGTGAATGAGAGCAGGTTTCTCTTTCCCACCTCGCTGTGTGTGCTCTCCAATGAGAGCTATGTGGCCGTTGGTCTGTCCAATGGCTCGGTGATGATACTCAACTGTAATCAGCGACAAAGGCAGCGCCAGAAGGGACCCCAAAGACCCATGACAGGTCACCCGCCGGCCACCGCTGAGCCCGATCCGGAAACCGGCAAATCGTGTGCCATTCAGAACATTATACTTAACGAGCGGCGGTCCTTTGACCAGCAGGTGGACCCAATGGTAGGCAGCAGCTACGATGCCAGGCCGAATACTGCTTTGGAACTAATTGAGCGACCCAGGCGCTCCTATGAGATGCGGGTTTTTGACCAGCAGTTACTCTTGAGTGGCAGCGGCCTGCGTCAGCATCTTGTCCAGGCCCTGATCCTCTCCAGCGATGGCTGGCGACTCTCGGCTCTGGCCGATGGCGCGGTACGGACCTACGACTTCTATCGGGATACGGAGCTCCTAACCAGCCGCGAACATCCGACGGAGAGGCGGCTGAAAGTGACGGATATAGCGGGTGCTCGCAGCTCTGGCAACGAACAGCACCTGCTCATCCTAGACTCTGCTGGCCAGGTGCAAATGCAGCCACTTGATCACTAGTTTGTTAATTATTTTATAATGATTTATATGCGCTAACATGTTAAATTAATTTTTGCAAGCAATAAAGTCGATTTGAACGAGCTGAAAGTTTTTCAGCCAATTAATTGGAGCTTATGTGAGCAGTAATTAAATTAATTTTGATATTTTTATGCATTACTTTTAATAAAAACTCTGGATTAATTTCAATCTAAAGTCAATATATTCAATTTCCTAAAGCATATTGCAAAGGACTTGATACCAGTTCCGTCGGAATTTCCATTAGTCAGTCTGAAAAGACATTAAATAAGTCACTTTGTCTTTTTTAAAATAAATTTTTAGTAATTTAATTTTAAACATTTATTAACAAAAATCGGTATAACCAAATAAGATTTCACTTCTTCGCACTTTACTTTTATATACAAATATCCGCTTATTTTTCCTGCTCCGCCTTTGGCGTTAAACCTGTCTGGTCATGGACAACATCCCGCCGGCGGCGGTGGTGGCCCCCAGGAGCTGTCGCACCGTCTGCAACTCATCTCTTAAGGCCAGCACCTGGGCCCGCAGTATAGAGTTCTCCTGCTCGAGCAGAGCCGCCCGGAATGCTATCCGATCCTCGCGGATTTTCCGTGCATCCCTCGACTTCTTGGCTGCCTCATTGTTCCGTTTGCGTCTCTCGTAATACTTGGCATCCTTTTGGGCATCCGGTATAGGTCTCTTTTCGCCGCGAACACGTCGATGCATGAAACCCGGAAACATTCCGCCTCCGATGACGCCAACGCGATTAAGCTCCATCAGGGGGAATTCCAGGGCCTGAAGGGCATGACTCGGTGGGGCAATGTACTCGAAGGCGGGTAGAGTGGGAGCCACTGATCCGGGAGAGACCTTGGATCCCGGGACTAGACCAGGGAATCCAAGGCCCGGCAGCCGGAGACTGTGAGGAGCTGGAAACGAATACGATGACGACGACGGCAGCTTCTTTTTGGGCTCAAAATCTCCCTCCAAATCAGAGTGCAGCGATAGCGTCTCGGTGACATCCAGGATAGGCGACTGGGCTGGCGAGTGCATCCTCTCCATCGACATCCGTTCGCGCCAACGACCGCGTTGTGTCTGGGTCTGAATCCTGCGCTGAGTTATGGCCCAAGCCCGTCCTGGCGACCACCACCTGCCGCGGTAATTATAGGTTCTTGTCACACAACAACCCCCTACACCGATCCACCCACCACCCCATGTGGCCATGTGGGGCTAATTCTAAGCCAGCCACAGACCTCCTGGTCCCCCAGCTCCTCCCCCGCTGCCGGCTGATTCAACCAATCACGCAATGTTGACGGTAATTATTCGTCAAATACATGACACTTGGACGGGGCTGCATGGCATTTATTTGTGCTGCCCGGTTACAAGGACTTCATATAACTGGTTAGCCAGATTACAAACCCCCAGTTCCCCCCCTGACTTGACCAACTGTTATGCGTCGGGGCGGAAAAGAGTCCTTAACCGGCACTGACCAATGAGCGTGGACGAAAGGTCACTTGGAAGGTGGGGGAGTCCACGGGCCTGGCTATCGACCGGCATTTTGTGGGCGAATGTTCCTCGATAAGTCACGGTAATAGTCTGAAAGAGGCGTGGTAAAGTGGCCATAAGGTAAAGCACTTGGGGAAAATGGGGCATGTATTGACAAGGAATATGGAATTTGGGGTCTTCTTTTTTTTTTATTTTTATTGTAATTAAACAAAAAATAGGATTAACTTGTATTTGTTTTGGATTTGTAGATTATAAAACTTGTAAATCAAAATTTTATATCAATTTTACAGGAGCTTCAGAAAAGGCTTAAACAAATTCAAAAGATTTTAATTCATTGAAAACTTCAGACACCCTTTTTAATCTTGTTAAATCCCAAAGATCCTTCTGAACCATGCCTGACAATAATAATATAGATATAATATTACGTTTTTCTTTTAAATAAAGACCAAAAGGATCCTTTCTTCTGAAGCAGAGTTTATTTTTTGCAGGGTATAATCTTAGTGAATATCTTAGTGAAGGAATCATATCATATTTTTCTGATCATCATAAAAAGCCGGGTCTTTCTAGCCATGTTCGGAAGAAAAAAAGTTTTGATCATATTTTTATTTTATTTTATAAGGGGTTAAAATTGTCAAATATTCATCAAAATTAAAATTTTTTTAATTTTAAATGAAGTTGCAGATTTATAAACCATATAAAAACTAACATAGGATAGCTTTTCGAATTAAAATTGATGCATTTTTGGGTAAGCTATGAGTTTTTTAAACTATGATTTGTCAAAAATAAAAAAATCTTGAAAAATATTGATTTAAAATATTATAATAAAATGTCCAATTCGATCCAACAGTTTTATTGCAAGCTGCAAGTGTATATAATCTTCGTCTTCTTGTTAATCATAATGTTCAACCTCCCTTGATTATATATTTTTTTTAAACTAAATTGATTTTATAGGTATACAGTAATAACCCACAGAAAATTTGCTATGTCAGCACAGCTCCATTTGGCCCATAAGTAATCCATCATATAAAGACATCAAAAAGTTTACCCAACTTCAATTTGATCACAAGCATGACTCTTGAAAAAATCGAATAATTTGCATGTTCTTTCCAGTGATATATGTATATTCCTGATAAATCCAGCATATAACCAAAGATATGTATGGGACTTCGTGTGGTTCTTAAACCCGTTCCTCTGTGCTGGTTGAGAAAGTGTCACCTGTTTGCCGAGCCAAATTGGCAGTTTGTCGCTCGGGACTTCCCCTTTTTCCTATTCCCTTCCCCCCATAACCGGAAGTCGCATCCTTATAACGTTTCATAATGTATGCGCTAATTTATTATCTGTTGGCAAAAGTTGGGACCATAGTTAACGTTAACCCTTTGACTGGCATGCCACCGATGTCGTTTATTGGTGTTTGGTGAGCCAGGAAATAAAATGGATTGCGTGTTACAGTGACATGTCTGTCTGTAACCCGGAAATATAGAAGGAAGCAAGTCTCTAATATCATTCAAAGGGTTGAGGCCAACGAAAATCCCGAAAATATGTGTGTTTTTCTGGTAAAAAGAAAGTTTTGGGAATCCATAAAAAACTATGAGCCAAATGCCCATTATCCTTAAACTCACCCCAGAGACCTCGCTAATGCATTGGGAGGAACACAGTCTGGTACTGGCTATTTATATGTTAGACAAATTACCAGGTAATATAGCTACCCGAACATGTAATTGTTCCAATGTTTGCTTTTGGGTCAGTAATTGAAGAGCAAACCTCGGGGACAAACCGTTAATGACACCTCTAATTGGATGACATTAGCACCGAACTCTAGAAAACGAAGCATGACCGAGTAGACTCTGATCTGTATGTCTATAGACAACATAAGTATTGGTCACTCCTGAAAGCAACATACATATATGTAAAACCTGAAAGATTAGCTTAAAGGGATTTATAAGAAACCCATCCGGAATGTGCGACGAAAGTTTGATCCGGGACTGTGAGCCCACCACCTTGCGGCTTCCCTTTAACACCTATCACATCCACTTGCCGCTTTATATTTTAGACATGGTTCGCATATTTCAGGATCATCCCAAGTACAACGGTGGCATCCAGGAGGAGCATATCCTAGATATGTTGGAAAAAGAGTAAGTTGGGTTTAGTATTTGGCTCACCAAGTTCCGCTCCCAAAGCAAACTTATTCGATTTATCACCTCGCCAACCATAGACCCTTTGCCTGTGGCGATCTGGAGTCGCAGGTGAAGACTGCCTTGCTCGATCTCACGGCCAAAGGATTTGTACGCTTTATTAACAATGGATACCGCACTTTGGGACCCATTGCCAAGCTGGCCAATGCCCGATCCGTACGCCACTTCAATATGACATGGCAGCGCATCGCGGAACTGCAGAAGGTTAACTGCCAGCCCATTCTGGAACAAGGATCCACTTCCAGTGGCCATGGCACCCAGCGTGGATCCAACTTCTAAAATAAGGCTTTTGTTTTCGTTACGTTTTTTTAGTTCACAAGTTTGTGTCCGAACAAAGCCCATACACCATCTCCTCATCCCTAAGCAGCACCCACTCTCCAACTCGAAATTGTAGGCGTCTAGTAATAAAAATTCCAGCAAATCCGAGTTCAGGGTAGTTTTGGTCATCATCATTATTAAATGGAGAACACATGTTCGGGGTTCAGGCCATCCTTTTGACACTTAACCAGGCTAATTATGTCGAACATTGAGGGTTGTCTCCTTCCTAATTCTTATGAGGACTGTGGCAGGTGTTGTTCCGGCTTCCAAAACTGATTTCCATATGACAATTGTCTGTGCCAGCGATCCCTGATCCATTGGACTCTTCATCCCCGAACGAACTCTGCTCCAAAATGACCCCTGACCTGGGTCTGCGGCCCATTACCCTTTTGGTCGAATCGTTTAAATTGTCAACACCACCAGGACAATGGAGGACACACGAGGAGGACCAAGGACCACGACCTGTCGTCGTCATACGAGGCAAACACGCATGGGATCTCGGACAGGTGTTATTTATTGCCTCTCTAATCGTTGCGGCATAATCTATTAGCGCCGCGCCGTCGGATCCACAAAACGGTGTGTCCTTTGATTTTTTGCTTTTGCACATTAGTGGCAATTATTATTATTGTTTTAGTTCCCGAGGCATAGTTTTCTGATTGCTGTTCCGACCGGGCTCATAATTGGACTCCAGCCCCAAAAGAAGACAGGACATTAATCAAGCAACCCGACATGCCGCTAGAGCAGAATGAAGATTGTATTTCTGAATCGAAATTCAGCAAGGAAAAAAGCTAATTTTATGAAAAGGTGGAAAATTCATTTTCTTAAAAGTAAGCTCTAGCGTTAAAGATTATACCACGATTTAACTTTAGATAAATGCAACTCAAATTTTGCTTAAAACTAACGAAAGGTCAACATAATCGTAACTTCTTTAAATAATAAAATAACAGCAGTTTTCGTTTCTATTAAATAATAACTTTGGCAAAAACTCAAGAAAAAGAAACTTAGAAATCATGGTCTGTGTCACTATGGCCGTCTTTCAGGTCTTTCACATTAAAATTTTCCTGAAGACCGTCGCTGGGCTGCGCATACCCACGCTGCACTAATTTCCGCGGCACAACCGCATATTCGCCCGTTAAGCCTACCAGAAATCCATCTGGCAGACGATTCTTCAGTACCACATCCATTTCCGTGTTTAGCAACTTAGTCTTTAGATATTCCACACACTCAGCGGTCTTTTGAGGGCATAGATCAGGCATCCGGATGACGCCCTCTATATGGCAACTGATGGCCCGATGCGGCTTTAAGCTGTCCACGTCATCGCATGAAGCCAAAGAGTTTATGTACACGAACTCTGTGTTGCCATAGTCTACATAAAAGATCTTGTATTCCTCGTCCTGTTCGTCCATGATTTGTGCCCGATAGAAGCAGCCATCGCTATATTGGGCTAGTACTATGTCCAGGATGTGGGGCTTCCGCTTGAACGTGCGCTTATGTACCGGCACATCCTTGTCGTCCCACACCAGCGGAGCCGCATCGTCCACAAATTGGGCATACACCTCAATCGGGCTATTCACAAAGGTAATTAGCATGCGAACAGTGCTGCCTATCTTTGGAGGCACCGGAGAGTCGAACACAGCTTCGGGGAGAGCTGCAACCACCTCCACGTCCTTGGTGGCACCCAAAGGGGCGAAGGGCTCATGGAGCAAGCGACAGTTATTTCCTGTGAATAATATTTAGTAATTTAAGTTGCCTGGCAAGCCAGCTAGCTGTAGACGTACCTTTAAAGCAGCCATTAATCTTGGGATCGTAGTGCCTACAAATGCGTTGTTCGTCCCTTGGCCTGAATCCCAGCACGGCCTTAAGCGGATCACTGGTACTCGTTCCAATCTCATTCAGCATGGCCATATCCGCCTCACTCAGCTTGACAGGAGCTGTCTTTTCTGCAAGGCCGTCGTCCTTGCCACCGGCATTATCCCTTGGGGTTTCAGTTTTCGAAACATTTCCAACCCGATCAATGCTTTTATCCTCCTCCAGGAGATCCGCCACGATGTCGATGCCATTGTTATCAAGTACGTGGAGCTTAATCGTCTCGTAATTATTCTTTTTCACGTTGGACACATTAAAGTTGGCCATATGGCAGCGAATCGCCTCGGCCGGCAACTGTTTGATGCAATCAGGCAGGGCAAATATATTTTCCTTGCCGCTTAGGTGAATATGCTCACCGTAGTCAAGCAGGTAGGCATCGTAGCCTCCGCCCTCGGTAATGGCACTGACTGTAACTCGTGGAATGACCTGGTCCCTACAGTCATAGACTGCAAAGATGTCACCGTAGTCTGGCACCTGATCCAATTCTCGTAGCGCCATCTGTCCCCCTAGCAGTTTCATCAGCGGCTGGGAGCTCGTATCCCACAGGGCAACATATAAGCAATTGGTGGCGATATTCAGGTGCATCACGGTAGCCTTGACCACAGTGTTTGCGGGAAAAGCGGCAATATTCTTGAAGATTTGCGAGTAGATGCCATCACTAGATGTCTGTGTACCGGATTTGGGTGGTAGCAGGGTCCGGTTACGCTCTGCCAACGGAAATTTGGGCAAAGTTGCTGGCAGGAACCGCGGAACTATTGAAGCTTGAGAAGGAGACTGCTGTATGGGCAGAGGATTTGGCTTGAGATTCTCCGGAGTGGGCTCAATCACCCAACTGGAGTGCATTGAGAATACCAGGTTCTCAGAAATTTGACTCGATTTTGGGTTAGGTCTATTCGGTGGTACCACCTCCGCTGCGACCTTTTCTTCTGACGATAAATCAATGGGCATAACTTGTTGGCCCGAATCTTCTGGCGGGTGCTGGACACTGTCCTGATTTGGCGGCTTGTCATCTTCGACGTTCTCTTCTATGGCGCTTATTCCCGAAAGCTTTACAGAATCGCATGTATACGAGGGCTCCTCCGGCTGCTCACTCTCCCGGAACATTCCACCGCCTGGTCGGTTAAGTTTTATGTGCAGATTCATCTTTATCACATATGCATTTACCTCGCTGAGGCTGCTCAATAGCTGATCGTGTAGCGCAATTAGTCTGCCGTCCTCCCTTTCCACGTTCATCCACCTCTCCGCAAGCACCTGTCGAACCTGGTCCACTTCACGCTGGTAGGACGAAATGCTGTCCTGCAGCTTTTGCAGATTGTCATCGCAAAGTTTCATGACCGCCGTAATGTCGTGGAGATCCATTTTAAGTTCAAAAAGTAATCACAATAGAAATAGGAAACATGTAAGTTTAAGAGCTTCGCGGGATGTAGTGTGCCCGCCGCTTTTGTTAATGATTGTACTAAACCGCACCGTAAAAGTGGAACTGGATTAAATATGCACTAAACACTGGAACCCTCATGTTTCAATGGGAAAAATAATTTAATGCTTGTTTTCCAGCTGTATTTTCATAAAAAAGTAGGAAAATTAGCCAAATACGCGACATAATCTAATTGTTTATTTTCGGAATTTGCTTTCTGAAGCTGGTCACACTTATATGCTCTTCTTCTTTCTTCCCGCTAGCCGAAAGCATCCCGGCGGCAACAACAACAACGTGTTGGACATTCTGAATTTAGAAAAGTAATTTGTTCATTCCTGCACAACCTCTACATCCCGGTGGCCATCTAGTAGCCATAACAAACACCACGCACATTCTTGGGGATTTAATCTATCAACATTTTGACGCGGGGCCAGAATGAGCGACAGCAACGTGCCCGTTTTTGTGAGTTTTGATTTCCCCCCGGCAAAAGATTAACGGAATAAACCAGCTTTTAATGCATTATTTTTAGGAGCTCGGCGACCCCTTGTCCACGCTTGGTAACAACACGCTGACTGGCGTCTTCGTGCCGGGAAACAAGATTGCCTTAAGCGCCTACCGGCATGTCAAACACAACTCGCGGGATGAGCCCACTGAGACAGCTGGCGAGGCGCCCGTCCTCATCTACATGTCCCAGGAGTCAACGCTGTTTGACGAGCCAGTACTGCGCAGTGTCCTTGCCGAGGCGAACGCCACCTTTGGCACGCTGCAGCTGCTTGGATTGGATGCCTCGCGTGAGAAATATCTGAATATTTCTCGGGCGTACCGCAGCATTGTTCGCGCCTGTCTGGAGAAGCTTCATCTGGCCAAGATATCGCCAGAGGTGCAGACTGATGAACCACGGCTGCAACGCTTCACCGATGCCATCATAGTGTTCTATGCGTCGGAATGCCTGTGGCATCTGTTTGAGATTCTGTACCTCCAGAACAACCAAATGGTTGTACGCCAACTGCTCGAGTGGGTTCGTTTTCATTCCCCACAAACCGAGGATCGCGCCACGGATCTGGTTCTGATGGAAGAAGAGGCCAGCGAAACGGATGACTATTGGAACACCCTGAGGTCTTTGATCCTGTTGGGCCAGGTAGACTTTGTACGGGCCATGCTCTCGCAGACCCGCAAGGCTGGACAGCCCCCATATAAGGCGGCTGATTTGATCCTTAAGTCCATGCCGGTTTACCAAGAGGGTTACGCCCTGCAGAAGTTCCATTCGCAATGGGAGTATTGGCATGTGGACACGCAGCGCAAGATCAAGGCCAATGTGTTCGCCACAGAGCCAGAACTGGAACAGATCCTATTGCTGGTAGCGGGCGACAATAAGGAGTGGGATGCCTGGATCATGAAGTCACAGGATTGGTACGAATATCTTCCCGGATATCTTCTGTTCACAAAGCCCACCTGCAAACCCTACGAGCTGCGAATAGCCGCCTCCAATTGGCTGGACCGTTGGGCTCTGCTGTGCCCGGATAAGGAGCTGAATAATATGAACCGTATGGTTACCCAGCTAATGGGGCACGATATCAAGTTGTTTATATTCGAGGCTCAGAAGCTGAACGACACGCACTGGTTCTCTACGCATCTCATAGATCTTATGTATCATTCCGGCCAACTAAAGAGCTACTTTGATCAGCACAACATGTGGGTTATGCTTTGATTAACTTATTTATTATTCAATTTGATAATTATTTTATTTTCACTTCCAGCGACCTACCAGCTTTGCGTCACTCCGTGATCTACGAATACGGAAGCTACCTCATGGGCTCGCATAATCTCTGGCACCTGGGAATCGATTACTTGGACTGCTGCAAGCAAGAGGGCAAGGCAACCATAGAGCTGCTCCTGCCACGCATCCCTATACGCAGCGAACGGCAGGCCACCAAGCTCATTAGTCTGGCCAGGCAACGGGGACTCGTATGCGTTGAAGAGGAGATATGCAAGGTGCTGGCAAAGCGATCTTACGATAATGAGCGCTACAGCAACGCCCTGGAATGGGCCATTCGCTCCAAGGATGTGCGACTAGTCACCGCCGTCGCTGACCATATACTGAAGCATTGCTCGGAGACTGGCAAGGTACTGTGCGCAGACACCCTGGACTACATTGGAGGTCGTATGTTTGCGTCACCACGACTGGTTTTCCTCACCAAGTACCATGAATTCTACCAATTCTATCACAACCGCGACTTTCTGGTTGCCTGTGAGCTTCTGGTCAATCTATTAGAATCCAAAATAACCCCAAATTAGTGAGTATAATTAAGATTTTTGCCTGTAAAAACTAACCATATCTTTTAACGCAGCTTCTGGCCCTCGTTGATCATGGATGCCTTGCCGCTGCTAGAGTCCAGGGATCCCAAAATCTTTGCTAAGGAAACGGTAACCATTCTGCATCACATTGAAACGGCGCTGGTGCCGATCATAGAGCAGGACAGGGATAAGCATGGAAATGTAAGATCAATGATGTTTTTTAAACCATACAGTTGACAATATATTGTAACTTTTTTCAGGACCACTCAGCTGCATTGTTTAAGGATTATCGGGCGGAAAACATTGCTGACATCATGACCTTCATGCGCTTAGCCTGCGCCCGCAATCTGGCCAGAGCACTGATATTTGAGAACACAATGAAATAGGTTTTGCATTTATTTTTTGTTTGGTGTAATTTATTCTTGTATCTTTCACTTTTCCAATACATTGTGTGTAATTTGTTATAGATTGTTTGCATTGCTAACTTGCAGTTTATATGCTTATCTTGTGCCTCTTTGCTATTTTAATGTACCAACAACAACGCTACGTGACTGGCTGCTGCTGTATGCCACCTGCCGACTTCAAGGAAATCCAAGCTGGAGAGAAGTTCACAAAAAGCAGCTCTCCACAGCATTCTAATCTATATACGAGTGTAAACGGTGTGTCTATAGGATACCTTTTTCTGGAATCTGCTAGGCTAGGCTGGAGCTGGGCTGGGCTGGCAAATCATATATAACTTAAAACAAGATTAAAATCAATCACTACCAAGTACTTTAGCTGCACAGAGGAGGAAGTTTACACGCCTAAGAACTATTTTAAACAACGCACAGAGCACAGGGGTAATACATACATATATATCTGTGGGTATCGTATATAGTTACTATATATATTATTCTGGTTTCTGGTTTTTATCGTTATGAGAATCGCACGGCCTTGTACAAATGTTCGGTCACTACAAACGTACGGAATTACAATTAAACTCGCATGTCTCTTGGCTTGGCTTGGCCACTACACACAACCACTTTGGCCATCCAGTTTCTCGGACCGCCAACGGCATTATGTGTGTATATATATAAAATTTATCATCATTTGCTTGGTAAAAAAACAAAATAATAACTAAACTAGACTTAGATAAGTAGCCGCTGGGGGTCGGTCATCATTCTAATTAATGCCTAACAAACTTTGATCCTACTCACTTGACATGCCAAATTATTATCATTATATCGAACACACTAGGCAACAGAGGAGAATAATGAAACATTTATAGACATTACATTTATTCCAATCCCGAACTGACATTGCACAGGAGTTGGGAAGGAGCTCAACGAAACAGGAGGTGAAGAAACTATGCACTTTTATAAACGTACACTTAAATTTCACCTTAATAAATGTGTTTTAATATTATTTACCACGAAATGTTTCACAGTGAAAATCTAAGGAGATTCTACAATTAAACACATTTTTTAGAAGTGAAATTTTATAATAAACTTTAAGAATTAGGAATTTGAAATTTAATAATGGTAGTTTCAATCAGTATTCTTTCAGTGATCGTTAATAGACTAGCATGACTTTTAAGTAGGTTTAAGTAGTACACTTTTTGCTTAAATAACATTATTAGGGAGCAGAATTTCTTCGGAGGATTGGAAGCTGTCTGTCTGTGGCAGTTCGAGATGGAAGACCCTGTTGCCTAGCGCGCGGTCATTGAGGGATGACGACGACTGACTACGCCGTTTGAGTATTTCACTTACGTTACGCCAATATATCGATTAAATATGCGGATCTGAGTGGAGTGAGTGCCTGTCTTCTAATTATGCTTCGCGGTCGCTGCCGCACCAGCAGCAGCGGCCACGCTTGTCGACGCCGTGGCCGTGGTAGTGGCGGTGGCCGCTACAGCTACAGTGGCAGCCGCTGCTATGGCACTGCTGCTGCCCGTAATGGAGCCCAGCCGGGAGAGCGATGGCTCCCGTTTTGGCGGAACGATCGGCTTGGTCGGTATAGGTGGCGGAGCGCCGCGTGCTCCCGCCGGTGGCACCGTGACTGGCGGCACTGCAATGGGCACGGGATGGGGATGCGGTGGTGTGGCCGTCTGGTCAAGAGCAGCTGCCGCTGCCAAAGCGGCATACTTGCCGCCAGGGGCACGTTGAATGGTAGCCGTAGGCTGCATCTTGGCCGGCGAAGGAGAGGGTGGAGCCACCACGGGAACGGGGACGCTAGCAGCCGTTTCGGCCGCTATGGTTGTGGGTACTCCAACGTTGCTGCTTCCGCTGCCTGTGCTATTGGCTGTGGTATTGTTGGTGGTGGTGGTGTGATTAAGGACGGCCGCCGACGCTAGTTGTGCTACGGCTGCTGTGGCCGTGCCCGTGGGCGCTGTGGCGATCCCAGCACTTCGGATGTTCTGGCCCGGCGCTATGGATCGAGCGATACCAGTCTGCGGTCCCGAAACCGGCATACTGCTCACCGTAGCGGTTGGTTGCACGATCTTCGCGATGTTCACCATGGGTGGTGTGGCACAGGCATCGTCTGTAAAACGTTCAGGGTTGGGTTTAGTATTCAGCGACGATGGGAGGCACGAACTACACTTGATCATCGGATCTCCGAAGGCGAGCTTTGGCCCTGGCATAAACCACAAAATAATTCATAATAGATCAGTACATAAACGTGTTTGCGAGGGCCAAGCTTAGTGAGGAAATGTTTCTGCATGGTCGTGAGATCTGGCTACGTTCTGGCTTTAACTCAGAGTGCTGCAATGGGGGATGTGCTTGCGTGCGGGATGGATTTGCGGATGCGTGATCTTTGGACTGTTTGTTGGTGCAACAGTGGTGTGCACGAGGAGGAACATCACAAAACAAAAAACAAATCACCTTGCAATTGCGTAACATTTTTTCTAACAAAAGATTTCGGCTTCAAGAGGAGTTCGTAAAAAAAGTAAAAGTAAGTAAGTATATAGAGTTCAAGTTTGTATATAGAAAATTAAAAGGAGGGCAACCATATATATAGTATGTAGTAGGTACAACAGCCAGTTTCCGGGGTGGGAAGGGCCTTGTCTAGCTCACTCACCGCTGAATTGTCGCGCCTTGGCGGTGGCAGTGGCCACGGACGAGCCGCTGCCCCCCAGGGGCTGCTGCTTCTTAAGGGCCTCGTGCTCGCCGCGTAGCACATTCAGCTCCTGCTCCAGCTCCTTAACGCTTTAAGGCAAACAATTATAGATTATACAAATTATATTTCAATAAAAAGTTTTAGAGCTTTAAGATCAACCAACCGCATCTCCTCCTTGGCCAGCTTGGCCAATAACGTTTTGCGTTCCAGCTCCATGGACTGGGTCTGCTTCTCAAGCTCCTCCTCCATGCGCAGCGACTTTTTACTCTCCTCCTCCAGGCCCTCGGCTATTGTGTCCGAGCGTTGCTTCTCCTCCGCCAGGATTTGAGCCAAGTCCTCAGACCGTTTACCTATCAGTGAGTGAGATTGTTATTAAAGGAAACGCCAAAGGCGGTGCATCCTATGAATCCCACCTTCTTCAATGTACTTCATCAAGATCTTCTTGCGCTCAGCAATCAGCAGTAGCACGATTTGCTTTTGCCTGTTGCGCTCGTACTCCAGCGTTTCCTGCAGCTTCTTCAGATCCTTCTCCATCTTGGCCACCTGGGCCCGCTCCTCCTCGAGGTCCTGCTTCAGCTTGGAGCGCTCCATCTCCAGTCCATAGGTAATATCATCGCCCTGTGCAGTATCGTGTTCGTGCTTCCGCTTCTCCTCTTCCAGTTCCTGCAGCATGCGCTGGTTGTTCTCCAGCGACTCGGTCAGTATGTTTACCATGCGCACGTGCGTTGCCCGCTGTTTGCTGACCATCTGGTACTGTTGCTCCATCTGCTGCTCAATAATCTGTCGCACCTCCATCTCCGCCTGAGCCGCCTGTGTGGAGGATTCCCGGGAAATGAGATTGCCATTCAGAGCGATTTTGTCCCGGAAGATGGCCGCGTAGGGGTCGTTTGGCTGGAGCCGCTTGGTGCGCAGCTGGGCGATGAGCTGCTTCACTCGCTCGTTCCTTAGGGCAGCTATACAGACATCCCGAGCCTGTAGCTCCCCCTCCAGATAGTAGAGCATCTTGACCAGTTCACTGTGCGGCAACTCGGAGCGTGTGCGGCCGTTGCTTGTCGCCGGCGGCAGCTTGTGCACCACTCCCGGACCAGGCTTCATCGTCTGGAACTCATGGTTGGCGCTGACTGTGTCGCTGCCCGAAGCGGATCCCGAGCAGTTCTCAATGCCAAACTCAGCCTCCGTCGTCGTACCTCCCACAAACCGGGCCGTACTTCCCTCCTCCGCAAACATCTCCACGGTGGCGCTATTGGAGTTTTGCTCCATTCTCCCGTCTGCCCAACACCCGACTCCTCTCTTTGCACCTCACAGCATACACAGCAGCGGTGCGTCGCAGTTCGGTTCCACTGCCCGCTGTTTGCAAATTGCACAAGCTTCGCGGACTTGGCGTTAATTCACTTCTAGTTTGGGCTTGGTTCTAGCCACCGATTCAGGCCAGCTTCATTTTCGATGGTTGCGTTGGCCGGAAGAATTGACTCAAGGAATTCTTTGTTAATTCTCACCAAGAAAAATTACTTTGTGGATACTTTGCGGCCAGACTGCCAACTCGCTGCAGAAGGTGTAGCGCACGGTAGAGCTGGAACAGCAATCGATGCGGTATCGATAGTTACACTCAAAGTATACGATAAGTTTCCCAGAACTACTGTTTAAAATTCTAAAACATTCAATTTAATTCAAGGGATTATATTGAATAAATCATATGATTATACTTAATTTCAAAATAGAAAACCGATTAAATCTACAATTTCAAATATTTTTATTTCTTAAAAACAAAAGGCTTTGTGGTGTTATACGCCAGTGAATTTCTAATGTGCTTTCCCACCAACCGATCCGCAAGGGGTATCAAAGCCGGTTCCCGCTTATATATGCCCGTCGCATCCGGTGTCCACACCCTTAGGCGACACTCCGAGTGCCCGGGCAGGAGCAATCCCATCCAGCCCGCTGAACTAAGTGTAATATCACAATTTAACCTTCCTTCGCTTTCGTCTTTGTTTTTCACCACAATTTCGCAATCCTTGCACTGTAATACTGGCCAGCGTTTCAATCTGGTATCCAAATCCTCCTTGCCGGCCATCGGAACGCCCAGAAGGGGCTTGCCTAGATAGCGTTTGTAGACATTTTCCGCCTCCTGGGTGTCTGCTATCAGTACGGGAAGGTGCGCCGAGGAAAACACAAAGACCTTTAGCCAGTCAAACTGCTTTTTGAAGCTTGAGGATATCTCCAGTAGATCCAGTCGAGCCAAGCCGCCGAGCAGAAGGCTCATTTGGGGACGTAGGCGAAAGGCTCTGGGACGGATCATCGTAGCCGGTTGCAGCTTTGTCAACTCCTCGGGGGTAAGCAGAGGCGTGAGTTGATCCGGGTTCATCACCCCGGGGGTGTCGTAGACCCACCGCGCCTCCTTGTAATCCTCCCGGCGTTCGTTCAATGTCGTTATAGGTCGCGTGCCACTGGCCATGGCAAAGGCATCGCTGAGATCGTCACGACGATCGAAGGTGCGTCCCACGGGTGATGCTGGTTGGGCTGCCGAAGCTGCTCCTGTTTTCCTAGCCTCTTGGCGACGCATCTGCTCTATAGCAGCCCTTTCACCTCGCTCGGCAACCAATCTCTTGTAACGCATATAAATACGATCATTGGATGGCCGCAGAATGGGAAACCGCAGCAACTTGAGTGTAGTCCCCGGCCATGGGCAAGTGGTGGCCTTTCGCACCAGATCACTCGCCTCTGGTCTGCAATAGTCCGAGTTGAGAAGGATGTTAAACAACGAGCTCTTGCCCACATTGGTGCAGCCCAGTAAATATACGTCGCCCTTGTAGGCCCAGTTCTTGTGCAGCTGCGTGATCAGCTCTTCGACCCCGTAGCCGGTTTTGGCGGAGATTAGGCTGACATTCTTGATGTTCATCCCATCACCACCGCCGCGCTTTATGAACTCCCGTTGAAGAGATGTCTTCACGTGCTGCAGGTAGGTGTTGGAGTCGCGAGGCAGGAGGTCCACCTTGTTACCCACCAGAAAGACGGGTCGTTTTGTGCCCAGCACGTGCTGCATGCCCGGCCAGATGGAGCTCGGGAAGTCCAGGAGATCAACCACCACGATGGCCAGCGCGAATTTGTCCTGAATACGCGATATTGTGTCGACATAGGTAGAAGGTGCCACCTCAACGTCCAGGGCAATGTTGTAGTGATGCAGGAAATGGCAACGCTTGCAGACGATGGTCTTCAGCTCCTCCTTTGTCCTTCCCCGGAAGATTTCACTTGGTATGTAGCCGGGCACCGATTCGCTGGAGCAATGCAGGTGGGCGCCGCATCCGCTGCAGGGTACTTTTGAGGCGGGAACTTTGGGATCCGGTGTGCCCTGCTTATTGTCCGCCTCATCCAGGGCACCGCGGTAGAACTCGTAGTCGTCCATCCAGTCCTCCGGCAGAGAAGCAACCTCAGGAACCGAGAAAGACGGATCTGCTCCCATCTCCAGAACGGAGCTGTAATAAACGTGCTCGTGCTGTTTGTACCGCTCCTTGGCGAGCAGCCACGCCTTTTGCCTCGAGCTCTGCCTCACATCAGCGGCCGTGTGGAGTCTCACACATTTTGTACGAACATTTTTATTAACAAATTTATGGAAGCACAACTTTCGCAACATTTTATAATTCAACGAATGAATAAATTCGATTCCCACATTCGATCCAAGAACTTTCGATAGTTTCGATAACGTAAATTAGTTTTGCATTACTGTGCGTAAATAGACAAAAGTTGCCTGTCGTGAAACTAAGTGACAGTGCTGGTAAGCGAACCACGGCGGTGTTGCAAAGCGACGGCCACAAAACGCAAAAGAAACTCATCGGAAAGAGAAAAAAGAAAGCAGCGTTAGCGAGCGAAAGCAGAGGTGAGTCGAGAGTGCGGGACAAAAAAGCGTGTATGTATTAAAACTGAAACAAAAAGATATAGAGAAAACGTGTCCACGGCGCAATTAGCGTGCTCCTGCGGCCGAAACCGTGTCATTTACGCATTGGTAAAAGTACAGAGTGCACGCCGAGCAAAGTAAAATGATTAGGAAAGTGTGGAAAAAAGACACAAGTGTATGTGAACGGCGGCTGTATGTGTGAGTGACGTGACTGTATGCGTGCTGTGCTGCTGCTGGTGCTGCGTGTATATGAACTAAAAAGTAACGCGAAGCGCGACCTAATTTTACAAACATATTACAATAATATTTGCATAAACAAATGCGAACTAATTAAACGTTTGCCAAACATGAGCACCAAGTACACAAAACCGTAGTTCCCGTTTCTACCGCTGCCGCTGTTGTTGTCTTCGTCTCAGCTGCATGCCACGAAGAGTTGCCGCCGCCATTGTCTAGGCTCTCACACACATTTCCCCGAGTGTAGTTCTTGCCGACATACGGGTTGAGTAATCCAATAACAACAACAACGGCTTCGGCAGCGCGGCGGCGGCGACTGCGGCTCAAATTGTAAGAGTGTTGCAACTTTCGTTCGAACTCGTTTTGAATTGTTGTGGTCGCTCACTCACTCACTTACTCACGGCCTCAGTCTCTCCTTTCATACATTCTGTTGTTGTCTGGGCGACTTACCGAAAAAAACTGGTTGTATTTAAGAAGCAAAACGGAGAAAAGTATATTCGCCCGATGCAATTCCTTAATGGGGGAAAAATCAATAGTTTGGAAATTAGACAACTATCCACCTCCGCTCTTATTGCCCCGCGTCGCGTCCGCGCCTCAGAACGAAATGCACCTAGTAGAAGCTACAGATAACCCCTGGCGCAAGTGCAAGCGAGATAGTTGCCGCCTGCCCACACTCGCACACTTTCCGTTGAAATTTCCAACGATGTCTGCTCTTCGTTGTTGTTGTTGTAATGTAATTGCGAAATCATAACGGCAGTTGAAAGTTGAGAGCGCTTAGCCAAGTATTCGCGCGAATGTGTGTGTGTTTGTGAGTGAGGAACTGCACAAGTTAAGCTCTGGTGAACTCGGAATGCTCTTCTCTCCGCCTACACATATTAGCCGGGCCGCCACTGTAGCGCATGTGTGTGTCGCGTCAACAAATACTATACCGCAAGAGGAAAACACATGTTGTCCGCACAGTGGGATGGAGCGGGTGCAGGAGCCCAAATAACTAATGGATGTGAAGTGCCAATGAGTTGTGATTCCTCAATGCAGCCGCCATCTTGGAGTTGCGCTTGTAAAAACAACAGAATGAATAGCTAAAAATACCCTGCAGCAGCTGCTGCAACAGATAGATATGTAGATCTTTCTGTATTTCTCACCCACTGTGCGCGAGCGTGTGAGTGAGAGACTCAAATTCAAATAAGCAATGCGAATTACTGAAAATGCAGAAATCGCCTTGAAAAGTGAAAGGCATTCGACTGAGCGAGCTCAAGTCTGGCCGTCTTTGATATTATTTCTGCCTTTTTGCTTAACCTTTGCGGGTAGCTGGTTCTTTGTTGTTTTTGGCTGGCGCTGGCTCAGCACTTTGACATTTTCCAACACACTCACACAGATGCGCTACGAAAAGCCCATTTCCATTACACCGCCGCTGCACATGCGCCCATTGCTTTTATTTTGAGAATATATTTTCGGCTGTGAGTCGTCGTCGTTAGACTGCGCTCTTTCGCAATTCTCCTTGGAGCCTCTCTTTCGTCTGCGTTGCTAATTCCACCAAGATTAACGTTGTTTATGTTTCCCCTTACAGAGTGCAGAAGCCAGACTGAATTGAAACGAACTGTGGATCTAACGGTAAACCTTTCGGCCACGCCTCTAAATTAACACAAGGAGCTATCTGCCCTGGAATTAATCCCGCAGCACGCCCCCAACAACCAACACAAGCTTCTTCATGATGTCGTCGGATCAACAGTTCTTTCTGAAATGGAACGATTTTCAAACGAATATGGTGACCTCTTTCCGTCACTTGCGCGACGAGAAAAGCTTCACAGATGTAAGTACTATATAATCCGAAAAAGAACCTTCCGATAGGAGAAAAAAAAGCCCCTTTCAAAAGACCAACCATGTTACAGTCAAACCTATCAAACTGGAAAGCAGTCGGAGCTAGATAATTATTAATCAAAAGTTATCACATTAGAATATGCTACAATATTAACTTTATAAAATAAATAAATACCAAACGATACAATTGTGAATTATACAAGTTGTAAATGTTAAACGTTCAACTGTAACTGACCATTCACTGACGAGCTGAATTGTATTCTGTTGCTCTTGGCCGCCTCTTTCCGGAGGTCAAACACCAGCTTACCTGTGTACCTGGCCTCCTCACATTCTTTCATTTCTATCTGCTTTTCTTTTACCTGTTTACTTTGTTCTTCTTGTTCGTGCTGTGCGTTTTTCTTTGTAATTTTTTGGTGCTCCTCCGCTCAATATGTGTTTGTATTTGCTTGTTTTTGGAGGAAATGTTGAACAGATTTAACTGATTTCTCAATGATTTTTTACAGGTAACACTCGCTTGTGAGGGCCAAACCTGCAAAGCACACAAAATGGTGCTTTCCGCATGTAGTCCCTACTTTAAAGCGCTATTAGAGGTAAGCCCTTATTGCTTAAAAACAAAAAACAGTCTTTTACTAATTAAATGTATTAATCCTAAGGAAAACCCATCGAAACACCCAATTATCATCCTGAAAGATGTCTCCTACATTCACCTACAGGCTATTCTGGAGTTCATGTACGCCGGCGAGGTGAATGTGTCCCAAGAACAGTTGCCAGCATTTCTTAAGACCGCCGATCGCCTCAAAGTGAAAGGCCTGGCAGAGACACCCAGTTCAATAAAGCGGGAGGGTTGATATTGGTATTAAACAATAAACAAAACAACAAAAAAATACATAAAACACAACAAAAAAGAATGAAACAAGAAAGGAACTATAAGAAACTTATAATGTATGCAAGAAAACAAAACAAAATTCCAAAAAAGAAAAGGAAAAAACATAATGAGAACGACATTTGATATACAAGAAATTCATGTAAAAGTACACTAGGAACACACACAAAGCTGACAGATAGAAATGATTAGCCTGTAAAGAAACAAAGGTGGTGTTAACTCCACCTCTGCCCCACTCATTCACATGACCTTCCAATTTGCAAGAACCGAAGTCCCCACTGAACTTGATTTGAATTATGTATTCGTTTGATTTCTGCATAAAATAGTTTGTAATATATTATTAACAATTACAAAATAAAATGGACAAAAACACATCCACTCTGTATAAAAGCAACGATTAAGAAATGCCCTGACAACACAAGCAAAAAAACAAAACTAGAAAGCGCACTTTTGTAAAGTAATTAAAAGAGGGTTCATTCAAATAAATAAAGATAATTATAAATATAGTGTGAAATGTGCAAGTAAAAGGATAAAGAGCCGGACCGGGCGCGAATATTGCAACACATTCGGTTAGTTTATAAGCCACTAACTAACTACAACCCCAGACATGCCACGCCCCCAAGAAACAAACAAACACAGACACACTGCAAACTGCACTCACTTTCCAAGCGACACACACGCATCCCTCATCTACACTTAAAGAATAAACAAATAGAAACAAATGCAAAGCTGTACTTTAATTTTTTGCGTGGACTTTTTCAAAAACAAAAACTTTTAATATATACGAGATATATTTTAATAACAAGCAAAAAACCGATCATTTCGACTTAGTTTAAAACCAAGAACATAAGGCAGATCGATAAAGCGAGCAATAAAAAAGGAAAAGCGAGTAAAAGGAAAGAACTATACTTGAATATTATTACATAAAGTAAAATATTTATATGTATACATGTGAGCATAGATTTAAAAACTACGGTAAATAAACAGAATAATTAAAAAACAAACGACCCAGTGTTGTCAATGGGATTCTCCGCATTTATTTCTATGGTACTTCATAACATACTCATCCAAATATCATCGAACCCTTCTGTTTACACAGTAGTTACGATTACAAATTAACAAAAATATGTTCGCTTACAAAGTAAATTACACTAATATTTGATATATTGCCAGATGTATCGATCGCCGTCGAAATAGACTCATAATCTACGTTCGCACATTACGCTACAGTTCCTAGTTGTTGAAACAGTACGTGTTGCGGGTATTCAGTTCGAATGGATCGGTGCGCATCTTCTGCTGATTATCCTCCACATATCGCGTGACATCCGCCACCAGATTGGGCCGCTCTTCGGCACTGGCGGCGCACGGGGACCAGATCTTGATGTCGTGATCGATGCCACTGGTAGCCACCATGCAGATGCTCGGATGTGGCTGCACGCAATTGACAATGGCACTGTCCGCTCGGTAAACGGCCCGAATTTTTCCAGTACCGCCCTCCCAAATGTAGAAGTTGCCATCATCTGAGCCTGCGGCGATGAACTCACCCTGGCTACCCAGGTAGTTGGCCTCCTTGATATCCGTTGTGATATTACAATGACCGACATACCGCTGCATATAGTCCCTGGCCGTTGAGCGGAGTTCGTATTCAGCATCTGAGAGACGCATGTAGCGGAAGCCATCATCCATGGCCACGGGCTCTGGTTCCGGGGGCTCAGTATTCTGTGACTGCCGGCGGTTCTCCTTAATGTCCTTATTCAGCATCAGCACGCCGTGATTGTTGGCGAAGGAGGGGAACCGCTGAATGAATGCCTGTAGGCATTTATCAGCATCATGGGGACGATGCAACTCTAGCAGAGCCCTTGCCAGACGAAAGTGGGCCTTTACATAGCCAGGATCCAGGCGCAGGGCCTCGTGGCAATCCCTCAGAGCTGCATATATATCCCCAAACCAGCCGCGACGCATCAGAGCCGTAGCTCGATTCAGATACAAAACCTCTCCCTGAGGGTACATTGCCAAGGCCGCTGAGTAAGCATCGATGGCAGCCACTAGCTTGCCGTTCTCCAGAAACTCATTGCCCTGCTTCTTGTGAACCTCTATGCTGGACGGCAGACTGCGGCTCCTGTGGGGCGCCTTCACCTGCTCCACCTCCACCTCCTCGTCGTGTGCGACGGGCGATGTAAAGACAGGTAGTTCGTAAAATACCGGAGGAGCAGCACTGTTCAAATCATAGCGGTAAATGTGCTCGCAGCCCATGTTGACCAGAAGCTCAGTGCCGTTGCCGTTGAAGGTGAGATAAGTAATGGCCCGGGACTCGTGGACAATGTTCCGGGTGATGTTCTTCACGATCTGCCCGGGAGCGTAGTAGGCCACACAAGCCGAGAGATCTGAAAGAGATGTATGAGAATCAAAATCCAACTTTGCCAGGGTACCCACCATTTCCGTTGCTGGAGGGCAGCTTGCGCCGATCGTAGACACGAGCATAAGGATCATTGGCGCCCACGGCCAAGTATTCCGTCCGCATGGGATTTATGGCCAGGCACTTGGCCTCCGTGGTGCCGTCCACCTGATTGTACAGCCGAAGAAGTCTTACGCCGTTGCCCTCCTCTGGACGACAGTGGTGGGGCTCCCGCATATCCAGCTGCAGTATACACCCATCCTCGCCCGCCGACCAGAAAATGTAGGGCGAATCCTGGGCGATGGCCAGGCGCTTGGCCCGCATCAGGTGACAGTTGCAGGAGAAGAGAGTTTCGTTGGAGTGATTGATGTCGTACACGTAGATGAACTTGTCTGCCGCACACGTCGCCACGATGTTGTTGTTGTGCTTTGGCAGGAACTTCACCGAGAACATATTGCCCAGATGCTTGGTGCTAATCACATGAACGCGCTTCTTCCGGAACGGATCCCAAATCATCACACGGAAGTCATCGGAACCGGAGGCCAGCCAGAGCCCGTCCGTCGTCCATTCCAGGCAGTTGACGCATCCCTCGTGGCCAGCGAGTACCGCCTCCTGTTCCAGCCTGTCCACGTAGGCGGGTGAGGCCAGGAGACGCCGGCGAAGCAGCTCGTCCAGCTCGTAACCATACTGCTGCCGCTGCCAGTGCAGCGCGGAGGTGTTCAAGGGCGTCTGCTGGCGTTGATTGCGCGAACTAGAGAACTTTACGCGATACAGTTCATCGCTCGACATTATTATTCTGGGAAAGGATTATGACACTTGTTTTTGTTTGTTTTCCTCTCGCTATCCCCTAATTCATTTTGTATTCGCACGGCCCCCCCCGCACAAACCAACGACAGTTGTTGACAACTGGGCGCCGAGTTGCCAGATAAAGACCCCTCAGCGTAGCGGCAACGTTAGAGCGCGCAACTCGAAAGTCTGGCAACGCCACGTGCTCGATACACAGTCGATTACACGTGGCGAAACATCGATGTATCCGGACATCGATATATTTGGCGGAAAGCATCGATTTAAACGGCTGTATCCCCTGATTCGCGGTAAAGATTAAAGATTCAATGATTTCGAAAACATCGATACATCGATGACACCGATGTTTCTACACCTTTACAGTCGATCCATCAATAAAAATCCATCGGTGTTTTGCCACCTCTAATAAACTAAAGAAAACGAAAAGATTGATTAATTCCGGACGACGCGACGGGGCAGAAAAGTGACATGTCCAAAGAAAAGGAAGACGAGTGCGACAAGCACAAGCAGCAGGCGGAGGCGGAGGCCAAGTCGACGTCAAGTGACGATTCGGACGAGTACCAGTCGGCCGGTGAGGGCGAGGACGGCGAAGGTGGTGACGGTGATCCCTCTGCGGAGCGTCCGCCGACGCACGCACACCTGTGCGCGGCAGCAACCACACCTGAGGCGGCCAGCGATAGCACCACCACCACAGCCACAACACCAACAGCAGCCGCAGCGGCATCACCTCCCCAAGTTACAGTGAACGAGCCCTTGGATTATCCGATGCATCAGAGCGTGTTCGAGGACGACATCAAGTCGCTGCAGCGTCGCCTTTTAATGACCACAGCCCAGGACGAGGTGGGCCGGAAGGACAAGCACGGAAACACACCGCTTCACCTCGCTGTAATGCTAGGCAGGAAGCATGCCGTGCGTCTGCTACTGGCCCACAACGCTCCCGTGAAGATCAAGAACAACGAGGGCTGGTCCCCGTTGTCCGAGGCCATTAGCTACGGCGACCGTCAGACTATAACACAGGTGCTGCGCATGCTGAAGCTGCAGTCCCGCGAACACATGGAGGGTCGGCGGGAGAAGCTGGTTAATGCACTTCGGCAGATGCAGGACTTCTACATGGAGTTTAAGTGGGACTTTCAGTCCTGGCTGCCGCTCGTCTCACGCATCCTGCCCTCGGACATCTGCCGGCTATACAAGTCGGGTGCCTCGATTCGCCTGGATACGACGCTGGTGGATTTCAACGATATGCGTTGGGAGCGCGGCGACATCTCGTTCCTGTTCCGTGGCGAGGCGCCGCCCAGGGAATCGCTGGTGCTGCTGGACAACGAGCAGGAGTGCTTTCAGCGGCTGCGCTACGAGGAGTCCGACATGGAGGACGAAGTCGATGTCCTCATGTCCACCGACATCCTGGCCACCCAGATGTCCACCAAGACGATACAGTTTGCGCGGGCGCAGCGTGGCTGGATATTCCGCGCAAACCGCAAGGAACTTATTGGCGGACAGTATCAGTGCGAAATCTACACAATCCAGGGTCTGATCCTCAAGCAGCGCAAACGACGCGAACACCTCTCTCACGAGGATCTACAGAAGAATCGAGCCATTGTCGAGACAATCACCAAGGGCGGCACCAGTGGCAATCAACAGCCGGATGGCCGGCGCTCCAGCCTCAACAGCCAGCACACGGCCACGCCGCCCGAGACCAATACGCCGACGGCACCGAATGGCATCACACTGCCGGAGTTGCCGCGTCGCAGTTCGCTCCAGGCACCGCCCGCCACCACGGTCACCTGGCGTCAGTATCTGGACGCGGAAGTGGGCAAGTGCCCGCAGCTGGGCAGGCCGCCAGTCCACAAGCAGTCGAACAAGACGCTGCGTGCCACTGTGGCGATGAGCAAGGACTTTCCCCTAAGCGTGGATATGCTGCTAGACGTTTTGGAGGTGGTGGCACCGCTGAAGCACATCAACAAGCTGCGCGAGTTCGTCACTCTTAAGCTGCCGACGGGCTTTCCGGTGAAGATCGAGATCCCCGTGCTGCACACGGTCACTGCAAAGGTGACGTTCCAGAAGTTCGAGTTTCGCGACAACATCCCCGCCAAGATGTTCCAGATACCGTCACACTACTGGGAGGATGTGCGACGCTTTCAGGACTTATGACCAGGCAACGGTGAAGCCGCCGCCGCCCCACCCAAGGCCAAAGCCTCATCCTCTTCATCCGGATCGAGCGTGCATGTCGATTTGAATCGCAATGCGCCGCCGTCCCCCTCCATTGCGGAGTTTGATTGAAGAGAATTAGAAAGGCTCACGTCTACGTGGCCCCGAATTTCTGCCTGCCTGCCTGCCTCTGCCCCGCCCTCTAAATTGTGTCGCTCGTGGAGTGGGTGTATCTGCTCCAGCAAAGAGCTCTGTGTTTTGTGTATGTATATGATTAAGAGGAAATCCGACATACCCAAAAAAAAACAAACAAAAATTGCAATTTTAAAAGGATATTTATTTTAAAGTAAAGAATCGATTTGCTTTGCTGCAGATGTCTCAAATTCAAAAGTGACACGCTCTTGAAATTGCAATTTTAGCTTTATTTTTTTGTTATATGTTTATGTAATTCTATTTGTTTATAACTGGTAACACACCCTGTGCATCTCCAGGGGTAATATTACGTATTATTTCATAGTATTTATTTGTTAGACACATCAACATTCGCAACTCGTGGGTGTGAATCACGCACTTTACGGCGGAGTAAGTGAGCTTTTCTGTTTGTCTCCGTAGAACAGCTGCCCCAAAAGCCAGAAGGTTCTACTGCCTCGATTATGGACGGTAATCGTGGCTAAAATAAATGTCCAATCATAAAGAAGGCGGCCGATATGACACACACCACACAAAACCAAACATAACACAATCAAAAGGTAGTTAGTCGAATGATCCGATAAAGCTGTCCACAAGAATCAGATTGTTTCCATACAACACCCCGTTTATCATCGTATTTATATTGTGTACATCCCTTTCCGTGTTTAGTGCAATTTTCATACATAGTTTTAAGGTAAACTAAGCTTGCCGGAAGTCTATTTTCGGCACCAGTTCACACGTCCCTAAAAAATAGTCTCTCTCTTTGCATGTTGCGCTTGTTTCCTACACCAATGATTTCCTAATAGCCTAGAAGTACTTTAATTCAAAGGGCGCAAAAGTAAAACAGCTTCACAAATCAATTAAAACAAATATGTATACATTTAGCCCGATTTTAGCCAATTATTAAAAGCGTTAAATAACGTATGTAGTTTGTGAAGACGCAAAGCAGAGATCTTGCTTTGCTTTGTTTTTCCTCCTCCAACTTAATATATTTATTCACGATTGTTTACTTAACCCTTGGCCAGACAAGCATTAACTGTGTATTTATGTATGTACAAAACTGCCATTTATATTTTGTTCTTTCGGGCAAAACTTTAGTTCTTTGTGTAGAATTTCATACAATAAATCAAGGCCCCATAAGTCCGATATATAAAAATATACATTTTTAGTAATCAATGTAATCATAGATCTGACATAAACACAAATCCTCACAAGAAATCTGCTAAGCAACGGATGGGTATATAAACAAAATCGATACTATATATATATATATATATTTTACTACCTAAGGGCAAAATCGATTGAAATATAATATATATATTTATACATGGCCACCACCCTAATTGTAATTGAACCCCGAGCATTTGTAAGTGCTCTAAAAAAATAAATATATACACACACATCCTGCTGTAAAATGTGCAACCCAAGAACTTGAATGCGTTTTCATTTTAATTCTTTAAACAAAGCTGGAGGAGTCGATTTCAAAAGACGCGCCCTATGCCTTGGTGCCTTATACAACACTACACCAATGCGTGGGAGCCGTCTTACTGGGCACGTTTACGAACACTACCTCGCCATATCAGCTGCTTGACTCACAGAATCTGGAAAATCTTTCACAAATTTGATCAAATTTTTGGTTTAAAATCGTTTTGTGTGCCCGAATCACCGCCCCAAGATGATTATCTCTCGTCTGGCACTTCCATTCAATATGGCCGTCCGTCGGATCTCACGCAAGGCGACGGAGAGCCCCAGAAATCTCAACATCCTGCGTCGCCACATGTCGAGCGTCTATTACCGCAGCGGAGCCATTAGGCCCAAGCCAGAAGAGATGCCATTCGGATTGCTGGCCATCTTCTGTGCCGTCATCCCAGGTCTCTTTGTGGGCGCCACCATTAGCAAGAACGTGGCCAACTTCCTTGAGGAGAACGACCTGTTTGTGCCCTCGGATGATGACGATGACGAGGACTAAGAAGCACGTCCCTGCCTCGCTAACCTTGATGTGGTAGAGGGAACGCATCCTAGTCGGGCCGAATGTTTGGCTTGCCATGGAGAACAACCGGCCAAAAGTCTATTTATTTATATTTATTAGCCCCAATTTTGCTATGTAAATCAAATCTCTACTCTTAAGATCGTAAATATTCTTGCATTTCATGTGTATTTTTCCCGCTTCGATACCTTTGTTTTAACGATTTTTCAAGAATTTTATCCATGCTCTTGACGAAAAGCTGACGAATGTTAATAGATTTAAATAAAGTTTACTTGATTATGCTAAATACCTTGCCTTGCCTTTACCCTGAGAGTAATTATGTAAATGTTGAACAGCTGGGTATGTACATGCCTATGACCAGGTTTTGCATATATCTTTTAAATATATACATAAATACATACGTATGAGCTTCTAATATTTCGAAAATCATGTTAAATATATTTAAATAATCGTTGAATATGGATAAACATGTGGTCTGTAAAATAAAATAAAAAAAAATAAAACCAACTTAGGAAAGCCGAGCATTTACATACCCCTACAGTCAAATTATAAGATCAAATCAGAAATTGATCATAACTAAACTTAAAATATTGGCATTCTTTGAAAAGTTTAAGTTAAGATTTAAAAAAATTCAAAATCAGGAACAACAAGAAATAAACCTATCTTTGGAAAGTCGAAGCATTTTTTTAATTCGGAATGCTTCCCGATATCAGTTTGCATAAGAATAATTTTTTAATTTGCATAGCCCCGACTCGGTTTTATTTAACCAGGCAAATTGAACAATTATACCAGGCAAACAGAAACAGCTGGCAGTAACCCAGCAGCACAACAGCACGTGCTGTTTATAACGGATCTTTTCAACTTTCCATAACCTAATGGCCGCCCTTTGTTTACATTTGAATTGACCAATCAGAGAGGTTACTTCAGGACTGTTTAATGGCCGCCCTTTGTTTACTTTTGAATCTAACCTAATGGCCGCCCTTTGTTTACGTTTGAATTGACCAATTAGAGAGGTCCTCCACGTTCCCCTCTTTTAAGATCCGTTATTTTATGACATTTTAATCAGCGGATCAGCTGCTTGCGGAACGTTCTGTTCGCCTGGTACACAAGACCAAGAATTTTGTTATTTGGATTTGTTATTTTTCCAATGTTAAGTTAAATATTTTGCCAATTTATTTTTTTCAAATGTTTAATTCGTTATTGATCTTTACTTTGATTGCAACCAGTTAAATAATAATTAATTCCCCAAAAGAAGAGACATCAATTGCCGAAGTGGAATTTCTTTTATTGTAATTAAATTTGTTGGGTGTACAAAGGTATGCTGCGCTGCTGCTGCTTTACATTGAGTTGACGTTCAATCTCTGCATTTCATTACAATTTATTCAAATGGTTTTAGTTGGAGTTTTATTTGCTTCAAAGATGCGCAATCATCAAATTTCAACAATCCTATTTGTTTTAATCGTACAAATTATGTTCTTTATATCGCTTTAATATATAAGTATACATATATAGTATATCTGCTATATATTTAAGTGTCTTGTTGTTGTGTTGACTTGCATAGTTTTCGTGAAAAGTAAAATTGGAATTGCCTCGAATCTTCGATAACCTCGCAATATCTCCCTTGAATATATTCCAATTCGGGTTTCGGTTATGGTTTTTCTTTTTTATATATTTTTTCTCTCATTGTTTCATGGTTTCTTTTTGTTGGTTTCTGTTTGCGTTTTTTAAAATATTTTGCATTTCTTGCGTATAAATGGTTTTGTATGTTTTGCAATTTTTTCAATGATTTTTTTGTTTGTTTATTCTTTATTAGATTTCGTTTTGTGTTTAATAAAAAAATATGAATTTCACACGCCCCGACCGGCGATGTCGGCGACCTATACTTCCTTGCTTCTTTAATATTTTATATCTTTTGTTTGTGTGTGTTTATGGTGTGTGTAAAAACATTGTTTATTTTGTTGTATTCACGATTCTCTTTGAAACAGAAGTCAAGGAAAGCAAATAAAATCGCTTCACAAGTTAATTCTTTAAATATATATATGTATATATAGATTTCTGCAAAGTGTAATGTTTTTTTTTTTTAATTTAAATATTTCCATGGATAATAATAGTATAAACATAAAAATTCTGCTTGCAATTCGCCGCTCATCTCCCATCTTCATAAGTTCACGCTTTAGCGTTTTTCTCTTCCTTTTTGTATTTTTCATATATGTTGTTGTTTGTTGTAATATGTGTGTGGTGTGTTGGTTGGTTGTGTGTAATATAGTTGTTCATTTTTTTCATAGTTTTTACATTGATTTTGCAATTTTTTTGTAGTTTTTTCTTCATTTGTTTTTGTTTTCATTTAGCAACATCATGGTTTTCACACATGGTTCTTCTGCTGTTGGTTTTTCTTCTTGTATTTTCTTCTTTTCTTTTTTCTCAAAGTAGCAAAAACTTGACTCTCATATTCTTGCGGTTTTATCTTTATCTTTTCCTCAACTTTTCTTCTCTCATATTTATCTGCACAGTTTGCATTTACATTTTTTCGTTTTATTTTAACTTTTTTGCAATTTTTTTGTTTTGTTTTCTTTGCTTTTTTAAAAGTGTGTTGGTGTTGTTGTGGTTCTTGTCGCGTTTCTTTCTTTTTGGAGAAAAGGGACTTTAAAAAAATTACATTTCGCTTTCGTGTTGTTATTTTTTTGTGGTAGGAAAAAGTGTACGAAAAACTCAATCTGTCTCTAGAAACGCGTGTCGTTGACATTTTTCAAATACAATTTCATTTCAGTTAATGCCTGAAAGTGTTTCCACTACATTTATGCTTTTTAATCGTTTTATTTTGCAAGGATTTTCAGTTATACAAAATAAGTTGAATCGGTCTTAGCAGGAAAAATTGTTTCCGCTTTTCTCTAGCAAATGAAGCTCGGTTCTGTATAAAAGAATTCTTGCCTCCTTGATTACTTTTTTTCTCTCCCTTGCTTGATGTGTGTACTTGCTTAAATGCGTTCGAAATTAAATGATTGAAATTGTTTTTGCTGGTGTCTTCTAGGATTTGAAATGAAAAAAGCCAGAGTTCTTTTGTTCTTCTGGTGTTGTGTGGCGTTCCTTTTATGCTTGCTCCACTACTAACATCAGCAGTAGTGAATGCGTTGTTTTTGTAAATGAATTGAAAGTGAAAGAGGAAAACTGCGGAAATAAAAAGTATCGAAATTAGAGATTGACTTCCCTCAAAAGGGATCACAAAGGTACTTACTTTTTGGATGTCGAGTGTTCTTGTACAATTTTCATCCGCTTGCTTGTTTTGTGTTTGTTATTGTTCGAGCTTAGTTGGCAGGCTCGGTGACGCGATGCACCTGAAGCACCGCGACCGCCTCCTCCACCTTGGCCTTGAGCGCATCCTGATCCTCAAGCATGTGGAGTAGCTCAGAGTTCTCGATCTCCAGCAACATGCCGGTGATCTTTCCAGCCAAAGATGCGTGCATGCGCTCAATCAACGGGTAAAGACGCTCGCCGAGGATCTGTTTCTGCTCCTGCGGCTTGGCATTGGCCAGCAACGAGGCAATGAGCTTCTCGGAGTCTGTAATGCGAAACGGTTAGTTACATCTTTAATTGGATGTCGCAAAATACTTACTCTTTCCTTGCAACTGCTGTGGCATTGGCTGAGCCTGCTGCAACTGCTGCACTGGGGGATTGCGCATGTTCGAGGTGTACTTGTAGTTGGAAGCACGCTGCTGGGCGCCGCCAGGGATCTGAGCGCCGGCAATCTGCAAGTTCGGGGCAGCCACAGTCTGCTGGCCGGTAATGGCCCGTGCACCTGTGTTGCGCATATTGTTAGCCGCGGCAGCGGCGGCAGCAGCGGCGGCGTGCGTGCCCTGCACCTGCTGGGGCTGGGCACCGCGTGCTCCGGCAGCAGCCGAGCGGTACTGAGTAGGAACCGCTCCGGCTGCGCCCTGGAAGCCTCCAGCAGCGGCGGCGGCAGCGCCGGCCTGCACGTTCTGCACCGCGGCGGCGGGACGTACCTGGGGCGCCCAGCGCGGTGTGTTTCTCATTTGGGTGGCCACCTGGGGACTGTAGAAACGCTGGCCTGTCGGAAGGGTCGGCACAAAGAAGCCGCCAGCCGTGTTGGGCGGGAAGATCTGCCCCAGCTGCTGCATACGCATGCCGGTCATGTGACGCATGTACTGCGAGGCGAGGTGAGCCTTGCGCTCCTCCTTCCTCTGGGCCAGAGCTACGTACAGTGGCTTGGTACCAATGACGCGACCGTTCAATTCGGTCACGGCGCAAGTGGCCTCGTTGGGCGAGTCAAAGCACACAAAGCCGAATCCCTTGGAGCGACCCTCCTCATCGGTCATGACCTTGGCCGATGTGATGGTGCCGAACAGCGAGAAATGCGTACGGAGGACCTCATCATCGATCGAATCATCCAGATTCTTCACGTACAGGTTGACCCCAAACACGGAATCGTGGCGCTTCTTCTTAAGCTCCTCGAATTTGCGCTTCAGCTCCTGCTGGCGCTCGGCCTTCTTCTGGGCACGGGCCACATACAGGGACTTGCCCTCGCCCATGTCCTTGCCGTTAAGGGCCTGGACGGCGGCTTCGGCAGCCTCTGTGGTTTCGAAAGCAACGAAGCCAAAACCCTTGCTCTTGCCATCCTCCTTAGACATGACCTAGAATTTATACTTGTATTAAAAGTCAACTAGTTATTTAATTTATTTATTTCTTACCTTATAGCTGGTGATCTTGCCATAGGGCTCAAAGAACTCCTTGAGCTTCTCGTCATCAAACTCCTCGGTAAAGTTCTTCACGTAGACATTGGTGAAGAGCTTGGCCTTCTCGCCCAGCTCCTTCTCGCGCTCCTTGCGGGGAATGAACTTGCCCACGTATACCTTCTTACCGTTGAGCAACATGCCGTTCACTTTGTCAATGGATGAGTTGGCGGCCTCCTCGGTTTCGAAATGAACGAAGCCGTAGCCCTTGGAATTGCCCTTCTCGTCGGTGGCGACCTTACAGCTTAAGATGTTGCCAAAGGCGGAGAAAGTGTCGTAGATGGCCTTATTGTCGATGGCCTTGTCCAGGTTCTTGATGAACACATTGCCGACTCCGGAGCGGCGAAGTGAAGGATCGCGCTGCGACCACATAATGCGAATGGGTTTGTTGCGAAGCAGGTCAAAGTTCATCGTGTCCAAAGCACGCTCAGCTGTGAAAGAAATTAAAAAGAGAAGGATTTTATTCGTTGAAATTCAACAAAAAAAAATTAAAAAATTTTAAATAAACAGCAAAGGCTGGCATACTGTGACTCTTCTACTTCTGCACTGGCCATCAACCAAAAAGGCAGCCAAGTGCACGGTAACTCAAGTCTGGTCTTTCATCTGGCAAACTTTGAATCTTAGTCGTGTCAAAATAGAAACATAATTGACCAACCAATGGGTAGAAGTTGCTAACGAGACTATAAATTGCAATTATTAATATATAAACCTAATTATCAGCAGATTAAGGCTATAAATATGGACTGTCATGCTTCTTCTTCTGCAGATGATAGGTAAAATCCATCAGCATGGTAAGTTACATAGGTTTTTATGGCAACTTTGAATCTTAATTGTGTCAAAAAGGTATAAATTTGACCAACCAATGGGTAGAAGTTGCGAATATCATAATAAAAGGGAGTTAAATTTACAAAAAAATATATAATAAGGAACTGTAATGCTTCTACTTCTGTGAATGGTATGCAAAAACCCATCTACATGGTAAGTTACATAGATTTTTATGGCAACTTTGAATCTTAATCGTGTCAAAAAGGTATAAATTTGACCAACCAATGGGTAGAAGTTGCGAATATCATAATAAAAGGGAGTTAAATTTACAAAAAATATATAATAAGGAACTGTAATGCTTCTACTTCTGTGAATGGTATGCAAAAACCCATCTACATGGTAAGTTACATAGATTTTTATGGCAACTTTGAATCTTAATCGTGTCAAAAAAGTATACATTTGACCAACCAATGGGTAGAAGTTGCTATTAAGTCTTATTAAAAGGTAATATTCTATGCTAGTATTATGGGTTGTCATGCTTATATTTATGCAGATGATATTCAAAAAACATCTTCATGACTTAGAACATGTGTTTCTCTCGCAACTTTAATTCTTAGTCGAATCAAAATGAAGAAAATTGACCAACCAATGAGAAGTTGCTTCTACTTCTATGGACTATAAGGTATACATGGGACTAATTTATCTCGAATCTGAGAATCTTAGCTGGTAAATCCATAAAGAATGCTTATGGTCATGGCTCGCCCTAACCTCACAAAAGATAAAGTTCACTAAACCTGGCGGAATCCTGAAGCATTAAAAATACGCCTCTGGAATGCCTACGACGACAACTTTCACGCGGAGCGTAATCAGTCGTCGCCAGCGCATCATTTTCTGTGCCATTGTACGCTTAATTCAATAAACAAATGTAACAACAGCAACAATAGTTGGAAACTGAATAAGCAAAGAAGCAGCAACTATGCGAACAGGGAAAGTTTGTTTTCGTTTTTTGTGTAAAACGAGATTTTGACGCGGCGAAAGAGAAGGAAAGGCAGAAAGAGAGTTCACTGACATGTCAAGAATTTGGAAGTGTTAATGAATGGAATGAAGAGCAGCGGCGCGAAAAAGTGAAAGCAAAACAAAGGTATAACGGCGTGCAGAAATTTAGTTAATGGAAAAATATAACCTAAAATAGATGGCGGCCAAGAGAAATGGTCAAAAACATTGAACACATGTTAGAGACGCACGCACGCAACAACAACGCACATTATTGACAAATCTGCCCTTGTGTGGGCGCGTACGTCGCCACTTGGAAACAACACAATACAAAAAGGAGAAGAGAAGAAAGAAAAGAAAACCCAAATGGGTAATGAAACAGCGAAGACGCAACTAATGGGCGGGGCTGCGATAAGCTGTATTGCCAGTGCGGGGAGCTATTTATTCCATAATAATTGCAATTTTGTTCGAAGTGAGACGGAAATTTCTAGGCGAACGGTTGTCGAGTGCCAGAAGCCAGCTGTTTTGTCGTCTCCTCTTCCTTCTTCTTCCCCTTTTGTCACCCGCTTCCCATATACAGTAACTGGAACTGATATGTACACATACTCACTGACTCACACACACACGCGAATACAGGGGCAGGCGAGAAGATTAACGTAAGCAAAGCGATGCATGGTGGTACGAGTTATGAAATAGTTTGAGGCAGTTTATCTGGCATTTCAGGTCCTCCTCCTATTAAACCATCTTTTTCATTAATTGGGCTTTTTATGGCTTTTTGATGGCCGCTTTTTACCACTGTACCGAACAGCATATCGGCATGCGGCTGCATCAGTGTGCGTGCGAGCGTGTGCGAAAACTGCACACGTGTTTTCTTTGTTTCGCGCGGGAGGGTGACTATTGCAGGGTGCATTTAACACGTATTGTACTCTACTGCCTTTGTGGCTCTGGCTGATCAGGATTACTCACCATCGGCTGGCTGCTGGAAGTTGACGTAGGCATAGCCCAACGAGCGACGGCTCATCACATCGCGGCAGACTCGAATGGACAGCACTGGACCAGCAGACGAGAACTTCTCAAAAAGTCCCGCTTCTGTGATATCCTGGTGGAGATCACCGACGTATAGAGAAGCCATATTTGGTGATCAGGTCTACCTGCAATTTAAATTGATTAATTTCGGCTCTTTCCCACGCAAATTTCACATTTTCCCAAACTTCTACGGACCGGATGGATTCGGCCAGGCAGGCGGTGAAATAGAAAGAAAAAAAGCGGCGTGGCTTTTGCTCTTCTATCCGTCTTTCTGTCCGTGTGTCTGTGTGGCAACACTGCATGTGACAGTCGGTCGACATGGCAACTCCGCTGTGCTTTGTTGTTGCTGCCCAGCTCGGGCGCACCAATACAGGCAAGCGTTGCTCGTGTTGGAAAATTTCCAGACACACATACATAAAGATAGACACGCGTTTGCCTTCTTAAAATTATGGGAATTCCCAGATTTTGGCGAAAATTCGCAATCGATGGACCTTTCCTCGCGATTCTACGAAAAAGTCAATCTTTTTTTCGTCGCCATTTTGACCTGACGACAACGTCAAAGAAGACGAAATTCACGAGAAAAATTCCACAATCGCTTTTGTCTCGCGTCGCTCCCCCGCGCTTCGTCATCCTGCACGCTTCACAATATACTTACTTTTCAAACACTTGCTCGAATTTTTTGCTACTTTTTACAATTTTTTTTGTTGTGTTTTTGTATTTTTAATATTTTTTTTTATTTTTTATATATTTTTTCTTCACAAAAAATATGTGATAAGCCGTGTGCTGAAAGCGAATCCACGACCGCTCACTTAAACGGACTCTACACGACTCAGTGTTGCCAGGTGGCGAAACTTTTATGGCTGCCAGACTGCACGAGTCGGCAGATACTAAAACTGGCCGCGCTGGCAGAGAAATAATACCAAGCCGAAATTGGCGGTAGTGGAATATTCTTGGAATAATTTCAAGCTGTGCTTGGAATAACTTTTCATGTATTATATAAAAATATACAAAATATACATATTTTCGACAATTTGAAGCTTTTGTGTGGGACCCTCGTCCAAAATACTAAGCCCGAGACAATCAAGACTGCCAGATCTCAGAGACTGACAGTCTGGCAGCCATGTCACAACTGTCATCTTGTAAAAGCCAATAAATAAAAAATTACACCTTAATATGGAATAAAATGGACGAAAAAACATTTTCCTCATTTCTAATCCATATATCTTCGATGCCTAACTATCTAGGGTTCTCCATATTATTAGTTATTGAATAAGTTATTGTTTTAATATAATTAAATTTATAGGCAACATTGAATTTTTGTAAGCAATTTTAATTATAATGTGTAAATTTCCCCCATGAAATTGCATAAGCATACATAAGGAAAGCATAAGGAAATACAAATGCAACTCTGGTGCCCTTTGACTTTTAAGAATAAAAAAAAATAGTCGGCAAAATGGCGTCTTATTTAAATTTTTCTGATTTACCCCGAACACTTAAGCTGCATGTAACAAAGATGGTTAAATTTTCAACGGATTGCCCCTTTATCTACTTACCCAGTTCCCAGATATTGTGTGCTGCGCCCGGAAATTGTTTTTTTTTTTTTTGTATTAATCTGTTTAAACCGGCACCCAAAACAAGATGTTTTCTTTTTACGATTTTTGTAAAGGTTTTATACGAAATAAACAACACTCAACACAAATTCGTCAACGACCGAGTGTATTTAATACATTAAAGTTTTTTTTTGTTGTATTTCCGGCAATAAACCTACTCTATTTTTTTTTGTCCTGTTCTGAGCGAAGGTAGCGTGCGTCCTAACTGGCATTCCGAAACCTAATGAAGCTGCGAGGTACAACCTGACAGCACCAAACTGACCTGTCACCAGGCAGCCTACTAAGTTCATTAAAAGAAAATCCCAGCATTTGATGTATTTTTGAAACATTTATTTGGGCATTAAATATATATGTATATTTACTTCCGGTTTATATACTAACGTGTAAGCTTGAGATTTTGTTTTGCGTTCAACTCAATTTTGATTTCCAATACTTAAACGTAGAATGTAATTGCTTACTTCGTCAGTGTGTGTATCCTTTTCGAGTCTAATGGGTGTGAAAAGTATTATGCTAGGTCCTTAATTTAATTCATTTTGTGTGTTGTATACCTCAAGTATATTTTGTATGCATAACATGTTTTGTTTTTGATTTCCCCTTTCCATATATATTTTTCGAAAATATACAAGGGGAGATAAATATAGCTAAAGTACGAATATTGAACTTAATTGAATTTCTCTTCACTTCTTTAATAGACATTATTTAATACGTTTTCGTTCAGCATCGAATGTTACATAGTAGGCTTTCGGATTAAATATTTAATACTTTTGCCAAATTTGTGGAAAATTTCATACGATTTTTTCTGCTGCAACAATAAACTGCCATTGCACAATATAACCTGTATTCAGTTGCGGTTTTGCCTATTGCATTTGGACTTTTCATAGTTTTAATGCCGAACTAATCATTCATTTTAAACATTCTTTTACTATTTTGGCAGTGAATTGGTAATCAACTCTTCTTTTTTTAAACAGTAACAATTAAAGGGGCCAAGATCGGGCAGCGAAAATTGATTAAAAAATAAAAAGCATGTAAATGATAATAATGAAAATAATTATAAAAAAAGTAAACATATGAGTAAATGTGCCAAAGAGTCTAGTTTGTAGTTGAAGCAGCTCCGATTGGAGTGGCCGCGGCATCCCCTCCCCACTCCACCAGGTACTGAACCTGCCCATTTCCCATCCGCCGCTTTGCCCGGATGGCAAAAGATTCTCCGGCCTCTATCCTGTTCATTGCGCCGCCGAAATACTTGTTCACCGATTGCTTCAAATCCAGCATGGAATGTACTGTGGCTGCGCCGCCGCTGCCGCCGTTACTGCTGCTGCTGTTGGTTGCAGTCGAACTGATGGAGTTGCGCCTACTCTGGCTGGGCGACAGCTTTTGTGGACGCTGGCGCAGCAGACGTCCGTGCGTCGGCTTTCCCATAGGCGGCACAATCGCAGGCGCTGGCGGCTGCAGATCTTTGGCATAGAGGGGAAGGTAGTGGCTTGGTATGGGATTAATTGTTGTGGTGCTGATGACCTATTTGGGTAGACAATGATTGAGTAAAGAAAATCACAATTAAAGTACAAGAATCCCTACCTCAATGGACGTGGTGAGGCGACGTGTCCGGCGCCTTCGCACCTCTTGATTGGGGCCAATGGTTATGTCTTTGGCACTCAGTCTTCGCTTGATTGTGCGTACCATACGCGGCTGCTCCTTGGCGTTGCCCTTAAGCTTGAAAATGCTATTGATGAGCCCAGTCACTCCAACGGTGGTCCCCACACCCATACTTTTGGCCAGCGTAGATTTCTTTGGCGTGGCCATTAAAAAGGGGTTGTTCCGACCGAGAAAGTTGGCCGGCGGGGGTATGATGAGGTCCAGCGAGCTGGTGCCCCGACTGCTGCTCGAGTTCTCATCGGATGATAGATCACAGTGGTTGCGGCTGTTGTCGTAGCGTTTCGACAAGCGGAATGCCTTTCGCTTTCGACTGCTGTTGGCGTCCAGGACCGGAAGAATGGGTGCTGGCAGTTTGCCGGGATCGCCATCGTTGGCATTGTCGTCAGCCAGGTCAAGTGTTCTCGCCGCGACCGGCTCCGACTCTGCCTTCTGCAGCTTTAACTCATCGTGCTCATCAACTTTCTTGTTCGTTTTCTCAATGAGCTGTTTGATGGGAATCTCGTCCTCACTGGTCTCCAATGCCTCGTCCTCATCGGTGTTGAACTCATACACATCTTTGGGCGCCCTCCTTGGAGGCTCACTGCCACAACTTGATTTCACATCTTCCGCTGGCATCAACATTAACTTGAACTTTTTCTCCAGCAACTCGTCAGACAGTTCCTCTTGTGGCTGCAGGAATACCTTGGGTGTGAGTGGCGGGCCACTATGCCGCAACGCATAGAAGGCCGGTGCTCTCTTGAACTCCCGGCCGCAAACGAATCTTTCGGAGTAGTCTTTCAGCGTCTGCTTGATCCGCTCCATCAAGGCAGTTTCGGGAAGAGCGCGCCATTGCTCGCAAATTGGTAACTGGTGGCGTTGCTCGAGTATGAAGGGCCAAATGTCCTTCAGCAGATGATGGTACTTCTGGTGCTGATGCTTGCGCAAATTGTACAGCGCAATGTGGAGCACGTCTACCCAGTCGATCTGCAGGCGCCGCACATACTCCACACCCTGATTGCACACCGTGCAACAGAATACAAAGAACCTGGAACAAAATATATTTAATAAACAATCATAAGTAACTGAAACCTAGCTTGATCCATACGTGTCGCCGCGCAGCAGTTTCCTCTTAAAGTTCTGCATACACTGGGTGTGGAACCAGTTGCGGCATTTGCAGCACTGCAGCATGTTGTGGTCGAACTTTCCCGGCTTGCCGCAATAGCAGTAGATCTGCTCTTCGTTAACCCGATGCTTCTCATCCCAGCTGAGTTTATCCGCCTGTGGGAGAAACCTCAGATTAGTCGCCTAATCCCCTCCTGCTACTTGTAAAGCCAACTCACATGGTAGGGTAACTGTCGGCAAATCCCTGCTGGCTTCGTTATCTCATGGTTAAGCGGCTGTTGCATTTTCATGGGTTTCGCGCAGCGCTTGCAGCTCCAAATACCGCTTCCCATTACGATTTCGACAGTGCATCCGCGGTGGTAGCCACGTCCGCAACGCTCACATATTTCCACCACATCTTCGATGTCCGATCGCTTGCAGGCCACACACATGGGTCCACTGACAGAGGTATTCGAGCCATCCGTACTGGATCCGCCGCCACCACCGGCGGCGCCGCTATTTGAGGAGCTACTGCCGCCCAGTTTCCGCAACTTGTCCGGCTTACACCATTGCTCGGATTGGTCGTCAAACCGGATGCGAAACTGCTCCGTAGTCTGCTCGATAATGGTGCCCAGGTAGAACCTACCGTCGTTGCACTTAATAAAGACGTCCTCCTGCAGGGCGTAGGTGACAGCCGGAGAAGCGGACGCTGGAGCAGGAGGAGCTGGGGGCGTCGGCGGTGTCGGAGGAGTCGGTGGCGTCGGCAGATCTACTTCCTTGGCCTTGAAGCTCGGCTTCATTTGGCTAACGGTCTTGAGCAGCGACTGGGTGTGTGTCGGCAGGGGCGGTGGCGAGGGCGACGATTTGCTGGGCGAGCTCATCGTCTCAGGTGTGGTTGGCGGCGTTTGCGGTGTCGTGGTCGTGGAATCCGGCTCATCCACAATTACAACAGCGGTTGAGGGGGTCGTCCCACTGGCATAGCTGCTGCTGGACACGGAGCTACTGCTGCAGCTGCTGCTGTCCGCCGTGCTGCTGTCGATGAGAGGCAGGATGGCCTTGTGCTGGATGGCCGGGATGATGGGCGACGGCAGCTGGGCCGTGCTTCGGGATGATGATGAGCTTAAAGAGCCCGGCGCCTCACTGTAGTGGTTATTGATGCAAATATTGATCCGGTCCAGCAACACAGTCGACGCTGGTGTGGATGAGTTGCTCACGGGCACCAACGGCGGTGGCTGCTGTAGATGCTTAGCCCGTCCGCCGGCCCCCATTAGATCAAGCTGACCTGCTGTCGGATTTCCAGCACCTGGAAGAAAGTAGGACTGAACAGGCGCATACATCGGATGCTGATCCTGCGGCGACTTGTTCAGACTGTAGACATTCGGCGCGGTCGAGATGATGCGTATATTGTTCCCCTTGTAGGGACTAGGCCCTGAGGAGCTGGCCAATGCCGAAGTCGCCTGTTGCTTCGTTGGCGTGGCCTGCTGCGCAAAGCTATTGGTGATCTGAATAGTGCTGGGATGTGTAGACGGAGCCTGCGGCAGGAACTGGTAAGTGGTCATCCACTGTGGCTGACGGCCAGGAACCGACGACGGTATGTAGCCATAGGTGGCGGGAGTTGGTCCAGCTGCGGAGCCAGACATCGATACCGGGAGGGCCGGCGGCTGCTGCAAGTACGGATGTGGCACATTTGTTGGCAGCGGCAGTGGCGGCTGGTGTTCATGTTGCAAGTGGAAATGGTTGTTCATCATCGTGGGTGCTAATGTGTTGTTGCGGGTGTGTATGTGTGGGCGTTTTAAGGGCCGATTCTTCACAATCCGCGCTGAAGAAGTTGCCGGCTTTTGCTAACTCTTCTCGTTTTTCGGTTTTCAGTTTTGGGTTATAATCTTCTGCTCGATTTTTGTTAATTAGCACGAGCAACCCGCAATCTGGCGCCTTTTTCAATCAATTTGTTGTTGCCCGCCACTGGCAATACACTGACACTCAAGACCTACACACATACGGAGCTCTGGAAGCGGCCCTTTTGTATTCGGTCTGTCTGAACACATTCGTACTTTTCCACACGCACCACGGCACACATTTTCAGGTGCCGATTACACAGCATTCAGTGTATTTTAAAGCGTCCATTAAATTAGCATTGCGCTAAAATAGATTCGGCTCTCGGCTTTAGTCGTTATCGTTCTCAGTTCATTATTAATACCAGCAAAAATGCGCTAAATCAAAACCATCACTTGAAAAATTAAAGATGAAAAATGGCTGTTCAACATATGCCCACAGTGTTGGCCTGCGTACCACATGTGGCAGTGTTGGAAAGATCTAGAAATACTAGAAAATACCATTTATAAATATTTTGTTATTTCCATTTGGACCTTGTAGGGTCGTTAAATATATTTAATTATTAATAATTCAGTTTACAACTCTCATTGAAACACTAATTTTAAATTTTAAATGCATTAAATTAATTAAATTTATTGATTTCTTGCAGGACGGCAACATGCTAGTGGATTCATTTTTTCTAAGCCAAAAAAAATGTATCAACGGAAAAGAAAGCTAAAAAAGCGGAGTACCATAGAAAATACGTTAAGAAATAAGCCATATATAAAAATCTATGTCCGTCAAATTAGCGTCGAAATGGAACGGTGGGAAAATGGAACATGGAGGGGATCTTTAGTTTTAAATTTATTTCGAAATTAAGGCACTAATTCGAATAAAATAAAGTTTCTGAATGCTAAAAAATAAATTTACTAATGTTATTACTGGGTTTGAAAGTATTTGACATTTGGATATATTAAAAAAAGCATGTGAAAAATCGTGTTTTCACGGATTTCTTAATATCTCGGTTAATCAAATGCGTGCAGCAATACCAGATATGCCAAAATAAAGAACATTTATTGTAGTTTTACCCTACCAAGTTTCAATTTCATAAAACAGTCAGTTTTTGAGCAAATTGCATAACAGTGAGATTACTGTTACCGACCTCGAGGTCGGCTCCATACAAAATAGGGCATCCAAAATTGTAAGGCTTATAACTTCGATTTACGAACGCGTGCACATATGCACCGTATATAGACTTACTAGGGAAAGATTAACGAATATTTAGTGAAAATTTCAATTGTTTTTAACCGTCAGATTTCGAGAAAATCGAATAACAGTGGGTGGTGTATTTGGGCTGATAGCTAAGGCGCGAACTATAAAAATGGAACCAGATGGGAACCAGTAGAAAACCACTCGCTGAACCAAACAATGGAACCATGTTACGAAAAATACCAAATTAAATTAAAATAGCAAATTGTTTAAGAAAACTTTACGAAAAGTGACTGCAGACAGATAGACATGGCTAGATAGACTCGGCTGTTGATGCTGATCAAGAATATATATACTTTATAGGGTCGGAAATAATTTATTCACTGCGTTGCAAATTTTTGACCAGAAATCATATGACAAAGCAAGGTCATCGAAGCACTAGATTTGAGAAGCAAATTTTCGAAATAACATTTAATAGTCTGCCCAATAAATGATTTCGTTATTCTAAGCAATTTGGTAGGTGTTTCATTGAAATCCGTTCAGTAGTTTTTTAGAAATTAACATTTGAATTACTAATTTATGTACTAAGGAGGCATGACTGTGCACCCCTGGTACCCAACTACAACAAATGATTATCTCGGATTTCTCATTAACGACTGAACGGATTTTGATGAAACATAGATCAAAATGTTCAGAACAGCGATGCCGTCTTTGGGGCAGTCTTCCTTTTGCATAGGTTTAGCCATAAAGTTTAAACCAAGTTTTCTTGTTTTTTGGTAGGCAGGGCTGCGGGACACATAAAAGGAAATAAATGAAAAACTCGGGATTTCTTATGAACGACTGAACGGATTTTGTTGAAACATGGATCAAAATGTTCAGAACTGCGATACTGTTAATGGTACGATCTTTATTTTGCATAAGTTTTATAATAAAGTTTAAATCAACACGACTTAATGTTAGGTAGGCAGTGCTGCCAGATATATTTATTCTTCTTAGGAACATTTATGGAAATAAATGAAAAAGTGATGTTTTCTCTTGAACGGCTGAACCGATTTTGATGAAACATCTACCAAAATGCTTAAAATGTTAATTTCATTCATGGGACATGCATATTTTATACAATTGCTAAAATAGTCAATAGGAATATTTTCTGGCGGGCTATCGATTTAGCTTGTCAGGGAGGGGCATTATCATTCCACCGTGGTATATACTGAAATAATCGAAAAATAACGAAAAAGGTAATTTTCCCTGATTTAGCTGAAAATCGCACCAAATTGTTTTAAATGGCTTTTCCCTTTATTGGGTAGTCACTTGTCGTAATGTTTTATTCAACAATTTGTCATTTTTATTTAATTTTGTATTTTTCTTAACATGGTTCCATGGTCTGTTTCAGCGAGTTTTCTGCTGGTTCCCATCTGGTTCGATTTTCATAGTTCGCGCCTTAGCTACCAGCCCAAATACACCCACTGTTATTCGATTTTCTCGAAATCTGACGGTTAAAAACAATTGAAATTTTCACTAAATATTCGTTAATCTTTCCCTAGTAAGTCTATATACGGTGCATATGTGCACGCGTTCGTAAATCAAAGTTATAAGCTTTACAATTTTGGATGCCCTATTTTGTATGGAGCCGATCTCGAGGTCGGTAACAGTGATCTCACTGTTGTGCGATTTGCTCAAAAACTGACGGTTTTATGAAATTGAAACTTGGTAGGGTAAAACTACAATAAATGTCCTTCATTTGGCATATCGGGTATTACTGCACGCATTTGATTAGCCGAGATATTAAGAAATCCGTGAAAAAAAGATTTTTCACATGATTTTTTTAATATATAAAAATGTCAAATAATTTCAAACCCAGTAAAAACATTAGTAAATTTAATTTTTAGCATTTAGAAACTTTATTTTATTCGAATTAGTGCCTAAATTACGAAATAAATTAAAAATGAAAGATCCCCTCCATGTTCCATTTTCCCACCGTTCCATTTCGACCCTAATTTGACGGACATTTTTTATAAAGCAATGTGCTGTATGTTTTTCATTAATAAACCCTGCGTTCAATACTTAACATAAAAAATGATGTAAAAAAATTAAGAATTATAGTATATTTAATATATATAAAGAATAATAATAATAAATAATTTAATTTCTAATGATCATTCCACAAATCGGGGTCAACATTTGAATAATGAAGTTTGGCGCTAGAAAATACCGGAAGAATACCAGAGTCTCCGAGCAGACAGCTCCGATTGGTATAAATAGCGGCGAACTTTAGTTCGATAGGTTTTTTCAAATCTGGTCACGCTACGAGCAAAGCAATCGACGAAGACGAAGAAATTTCATTAATTTTCACTTGTGAATAAAACGTAGAAAAAAGTGCCTCAAACTAAACTATAAAGCAAAGTGAATACGGTGCCAACACAAAGTGAAGTGAAAATACGACGGCGAACGTGTTTGAACGCAGTTATACCCCCGAAAACGGGCGAGAGCTGAAAATTGTTAAGGTAGGTAGGCGGAGGTAGCAGAAGAAGAATTGGAGCTCCTCCGTTGAAGTTGGTGGCTCGAATGACGCATTTAGCCACATTTGAACACATCCGAGCTGCAGCTTTCACATCAAATCGCATTTATATATTCATACATATATATATCTTACCTGCACGCACGCACACTCCCACACTCGTGGCCTGCATACATACATACACACACTCGTGCACCGAAAAGTGAACTGTGAACTGGAAAAAGAGCATTTGTGTGTGTGTGTTGTGAATTCATTGATTACATGGTATTACTCTCGATTTCAGGTTGCCGCTGGTGACTATATGTCCAGGTTGCGACAAACCGCCAAAGCCGTGCAATTTAAGCACGAGTCCACGGAGGAGGAGGACGACGACGACGAGCAGCCACAGCAGCGAGAGAGCACACGCAGGAGCATGCATTCATACGGCGACAACGGCGGCATAGGCAGCGGAGTGCCGGCCTTCCTGGCCAAGCTCTGGCGCCTGGTTGACGATGCGGAGACCAATCAGTTGATCTGCTGGACCAAGGTAACGCAGCGCCGCCATGTTGTTTATTTACCGTGGGCTTGTAGCCCCCCATATTTACTATTTTCCGTTTATCAGCATGGTAACAATAACGGTGCGTGCAGGTGTCTCCATCTCTTGGCCACCACTCTCTTTTTCCTCTCTCACAAAAACCGTCTCTCTTTGAATCTCTCTCTCACTTGTTTTCCTCATACGTCATTCTTGTTGTTGCTGTGGCGAGCCGCACGTATGCATATTTTGTGGTTGTTGTTTATGCAATTTGCATGCGTACGTGCGTGCCCTCTGTAAAATTTTCCATCTCCTCAAGCTGTCAATCGAACAGTTCCACCGTTTTCCATTAACAATGATAAGAGTAATTGGTTCTCTCTTAGCGAAGAGCAGGTTGATAAGCTGGTGATACCATTTACAAGCTATATACTTCTCGGCCTCTATAAGTACATATATAAGTGTATTTATAATTAGATAACTATAATTGTAGCTGCAAATGTTTGTTTGTGTAGAATGAATTGCTTATCGGCTTACCGCAAAATATGTATGCGGTATCCACCTATCAGCATGACTCTCATTAAGCTTCCTTTTTGCTCGCTTATTTGCAGGATGGACACAGCTTTGTCATCCAAAATCAGGCGCAATTTGCGAGGGAACTGCTGCCACTGAACTACAAACACAACAACATGGCCAGCTTCATCAGGCAGCTGAATATGTGTAAGTGATAAGTGTTAAACAATACTTTAAACGAAAAGTAACCATGTATTCTCTTTGAATCTTAGATGGTTTCCACAAAATCACATCCATCGACAACGGAGGCCTGCGTTTTGATAGGGATGAAATCGAGTTCTCACATCCCTTCTTCAAGCGCAACTCGCCCTATTTACTGGACCAAATCAAACGGAAGATATCGAACAACAAGAACGGGGAAGACAAGAGCGCTCTGAAGACGGAGGCCGTGTCCAAGATCCTCAGCGATGTCAAGGTGATGCGAGGTCGCCAAGATAACCTGGACTCGCGCTTCTCCGCCATGAAGCAGGAGAATGAGGTGTTGTGGCGTGAAATAGCCAGTTTGCGGCAGAAGCACGCCAAGCAGCAGCAGATAGTCAACAAACTGATCCAGTTCCTAATCTCCATCGTGCAGCCGTCGCGGAACATGTCCGGCGTCAAGCGCCACATGCAGTTGATGATTAACGATGCGCCCGAAAATGACCGCGCTCGCACCACCAGCGAGACGGAGAGCGAGGGCGGCGGCGGTCCGGTTATCCACGAGCTCAGCGAGGAGCTGCTCGACGAGGTCATGAATCCCTCGCCGACTGGCTACACCGGAGCCGCGCTGTACGACCAGGAAAGCGTCTCGCCGCTGGCCGTCGAGCGTCCACGATCAAATATTAGCGTCAGCTCACACAACGTCGACTATTCGAATCAAAGCGTTGAGGACCTGTTGATCCCAGGCAACGGACCCTCTGCCAGTAATCTCTTGACAGCCGGTTCTGCCTCTCCGATGGCCTCCAGCTTGAGTGGCTCGCCGGCTCAGCATGTTGTGTACACAGTGACCGAGGCACCCGACTCCCATGTCCAGGAGCTGCCCAACAGCCCGCCTTATAACGAAGACCATAACGTTCTCACTACGCCCATGGTGCGGGAAGAGGAGCGAAAGCGTCTAGAGCTTAAGGAGAAGAACAAGCAGCGAAGACTAGCAGGAGATCAGCAAATGCTCGATTCTGGCGCCATTCTGGTGGAGGATGTCTTGCCGAAGGCCCAACGAACGCGCGCCCAGCTCAAGTCTGATGCTCAGTCGCCGAAAGTCATGCCCCAGCCCGTGTTGATCAAGTCTGAGCCGGAGAACAATGCCGGACTGCTTGGCCTAATCAATCCAACGAATTCTGATATGTACGATGTGAACTTTATCAGCGAGGACATGCCGACAGACTTGTTTGAAGTAAGTAGCTGACTCTACTTAATTCTAATTATTTAATTAACTTTGATTACTTGTTTTCTAGAATCCTTCTCTCTTGCCCACTGGCATCGAGGAGGCTGCCAAGCTGGACCAGCAGCAAAAATTTGGGCAATCGACCGTGAACAATGGAAAGTTTGCCAACAACTTTGGAGTGCCCGCCACCAGTAGTAGCAGCAGCACTCTGCTGGACGCCAACCAGGCCTCCACATCGAAGGCAGCGGCCGCTGCCAAGGCCCAGGCCCAGGCCCAGGCTACCGAGGAGGAGGCGGCCATGGCTGTTGCCAAGTACACGGGCGGCGAGAATGGTGCTTCTAGAGATCCTAACAACGGCCACCAACTCCTGAGGATGGCATCAGTGTTCGTAGACGGCATTAACTCTTCATCCAGAGTGGTCAGTCATAATCAAGAGCATTTTAATTCTTCCTGTTGCAGTGACGATGTTCATGGCCATTTGGACAATATGCAAGATGAGCTCGAATCACTTAAAGATCTGCTGCGCGGGGACGGTGTGGCCATTGACCAGAATATGCTAATGGGTGTAAGTATCCTTAGATAGTAAACAAACACTAGCTCCTAGTCTAGCTGTCCGTCGTCTGTCCGACTCGAGGCTTATTTCAATTACGTTCTATATTCACCAATAGGCGCCTGGCAGGACGCCCATTTTTCAGCTGACCGAGGACGAGCTTTTACTAAAGGTCAGCGCAATGCGTCCAAACAAATGCCAGGCCTTTATGTCCGAAATTTCCCCTTAACGAAATTAAAACGAAACTTTTCTCTTAACTTGGTTTTACAGCTCTTTAACGACTCGGATCTACTAGATAACTATGGCCTATCATTTCCCAATGACAGCATGAGCAGTACTGAGAAGAAAGGTTTGCGGTTATAATTTTTTCGTTATATCCTTACTAATATTCGTTTTATATACTTGCATAGCGCCCAGTGGTAATGAGCTAATCTCCTATCAGCCAAACATGTTTGATTTGTCGGATATTCTGGACACGGATGATGGCAACAAAAATGCGGAGGCCAACAGTCGTCAGTTGCAGTCGCAAAGCTCTATTTTGAATACGCCGCGACACGACGTGTAACTTGTGTTTAGTTTATAGTTGGCTCACACCCTTCTTTATGTTGATTTTTATCAACTTTTAATCATTTTAGTTAATTTTATTTTTCAATCATATTAATGATGCTGTGTGTATGCCTTATGCACTATATATATGATATATAGACTAACCCTAATCAATTCTTGTTTTAGAATGACTCGAAAATTCATTTAATATTTAGATGTATTTTATATATATTCGGGGATTTTACGAGCGTCAGCTCAGGTAGATCTGTGTGTTTTTCTTTAGTTGCACTAACCGGTCATTAGCCGATCGATCATAGACTTTGTAAGAGATATCGCACCACATAGAACGTACGTTTTACACATTATTACCTTTTATTAATCAACAATAAAGTGTTTTAAGCTGCTACGTTGGAGCTGCGAGTGAAGTTGAAACCGCCTCTTACTGAATTCGTTAGAATTGTTTAGTTTTTGTGCTTTATTTTTATTTGGGATCATTGTTGATACAACTGAATAGATATGGACACTTACATATCATATCGCTCGTCTTGATATAAACTTAAAAGATAACCTAACTTACAGCCTAGCCTAGAAACTAGAAACGCGAACGCAGCAATAATTACAAATTCTTTGTAAATTGAGTGATACATAAACCGGGGTGTATACAAAATAGTGTCCACGCAAAGATCTTATATAAGAACAAGATGACTTAACGCCATACGATAATATTGCACTAGAATTTTAAGAGCATTCTAGATCTGATGCATGGGCGTTATGAATCTTGTTAGTATAGGGACTTTGGTGTTCGTGGGTGTGATTGAGTGTGTCCTGTCTGTATTTACCATTAAAAAGACTAATCAAAAATTGTACGTATTGCATAGAGTATAGAGCATCGCATCCGACAACCGGGGAGTCGTCCACTTAGGACTCATCCTTGTACTTGGCATCTTTCAGTATGCTGGCGAACTCGAACTTGACGCGCTCCCGCTCCGACCTTGGCATGCTGCGCAGTGTGTCGACTAGCGAAAGGCAATAAAGCTCGATGGGATCGCTAAGGGGCGACAGCGGTGGGTTTGACGCAGAGGGTGCGGCCGCCTTGCGCTTGGCCGGATTGACCAGGAATTCGCTGGGTAACGTTCGGCGCGTGGCCGCCGGATTGACCAGAAACTCGCTGGGTATCGTGCGCCGGCTGGCCGCTGCCTTATATATTGGTTCGATGGTCACCTCTCCATTGGATAGCGAGCTGTTCTTGATGTTCTGCTGGCCCTGCTCTTGCTGTTGCGGTTGGTCCTGGTCGTAGCCGTTGCCCATAACTACCATTGGTGTAAGCAGGGGTGAGGAGGCCGGTGAGCTAACATGAGTATGGTCCTGGTCGTGGTCATGTTCGTGACTGTGGTTGCTGCTGCTTGTGCCGTTGAGAGTCGCCTGCAAAGATAGCTCTGCCTTGGGCTCCATGACCAGCTGCAGCTCAGGCACAATCTCGTTGTCGTCGCTGTGTGAGCCATCGTCACTGTTGTCCAGCTCTATTATGTCGTAGCCCGCGGAGGCATCGATCTTGAGGTGCTCCGGGTCCGGGTAAAGAAAGCTGTTGCTGTCGTTGTCACTGCCATTCTGTGCCGCCGTGTAGCTCTGGGACTTCTTTACGTTATAAGTCTGGGCCGTGTTCTGCAGAAAGGATAAATCTTCGGTGAAGCGTCTCTTCCGCACATTCGGATTAGCTTGGCCCGTCTCAATCGCCTTGATCTCCTGTAGATAGTTGTACCGTATGTTCTTCCATTTGGTTTGCAGAAATCGCGCTGTGAAAAAGTAGAAGGAGGGTGGGTTTCAGCCACAATCTACGCAGTGGAAATGACTGAAATACTCACAGGAGGCGCCCAGTTCGGTGGCAATTCGATCCCATATGTCCACACGGACCGGATTACGCCGATAATGCGGATGGCTGACATCGTAGATGGCCGGATTAGAGCGCACCAGCTTTATCAGGCGATCGTCTGTAGGCAGGATTAAGTGGGAAAAATCGTTAAAAATCTGTGTTGTCCCACTTCGGGGTTCGCGTTTCTACGTTTCTTCAGCAAGCAACCCCTAAGCGCAGAAGACGCGGACAGGACAATCGTTCTGCTTTGGGGGTTGATTCTGCAAATCGCGACTGCCACACACAGGCCTTTTCCTTTTCCACCGTGTACCGAAATTGCTGGCCAGGAAGAAAACCAACTTACCGAACTCGGGTCCTGTGGTCTCGCGTTCAGCGTAGTAGCGCTGCATCTTCTCTGATTTAAGAATCGGTTCCTGGTTGCTGCTTCTTCTGCTCATTGCGGTTTGTTGTCCTTGCAGTCAGCTCTGGTTTTATCCTTTCGAGACTCCGGGCCAGAGGCGGTAGCTTTCTTTTTAAGACTCTCTCGCAGGATTCTGAAAGTTTATTTTGTTGGGACCGATTTACCGTTCTGCGCGTGCTCGTTTGTTTTCCGCGCTCTCCGTTAGAGATGGCAGTCAAATCGATTCGCTAAGCGACATATCGATATATTTGGTTACTGACTTGTATCTGGCCAATCGTTAGAAGCAAAACTGATCTGAATGCCTGTGGAAATTATATAATTCCAGAGAATTTCCATAACTCTAGGAAAAACCTCAAATCAACAATTTTTCCCAACGACAGCCTGCCAGCTAGAAATGCAAAAACATCGATAGTGTGTACATGTAATGTTTTTTAGTGAAGTTAGTGAAACATCGATGTTGGGAAAAATACTATCGATAGAGATAGTAAGACCAGGTGTCGGAGGAGTTTTGAACAGATGTATCGGCGGTCCCACTGTCATTCCAAAAAAAAGCGACTAACAACAAAACACGGCTTGGGCATTATTCCCCGCTCGCGCCGACCGCTTTAACTCCCAACAGCACGTGTCCGCGGCCCCCGGGGCAGGCGAAAGATGATCAACGGCCGCTATGGGAGGTTCGGAGCACTCATCGGCGTCGCGTACGTGAGCAGCACCCACTGTCGCTTTCTGGTGAGTCCAAAAGCCGAAAACGCACGCACACCCGCACACATGCGCACCCATACGCCGGACAGCTGACTCAATTTCTATTTCCATAGATTTACTCAACCAAGAATGCCGAGGTGCTGGCCTACCACGAGCAGAAGCTGCGCCAGATCGTCCATCAGGCCGGCTGGCTGGAGTACGACCCCGTGGAGATATGGAAGTATATGCAGGAGTGCATTGAGGTGCGTGTAGCATCGGGAGTTATATCATCACAGCCACTTATCAGACCCACTTTTTTTTTTTACTTTGCAGACTGCATACAAGAATCTGGTGATACTGGAGATCGACCCGCATGACATCATCGCTGTGGGCATCGTCAATCAGCGAGGCACCTCAGTGCTTTGGAACAAGCAGACGGGTCAACCGCTGCACAATGCCATCGGCTGGTCCGATTGCCGCAGCAACGGCATCCTGAAGACGCTGCTTCACAATGTCCGGCACAATGTGGACTACGTGCGATATCGCAGCGGCTTGCCCCTGAGCAGTTGTTTTAGCGCCCTGAAGATTCGCTGGCTGCTGGATCACGTTTCCCCTGTGAGCAGTGCCATCGAGGAGGAAAAGTGCCTTTTCGGCACACTGGACTCTTGGTTGTTGTGGAACCTAACCGGTGGCGTGGAGACGGGTGTGCACTCCACGGACCTCACCAATGCCCACTATACTGGACTAATGAACATCTCCACGCAGCAGTGGGACTCGAAGCTGTGCCAGTTCTTCCGTCTGCCGATTAACATACTGCCACGAATACGTTCCAACTCCGAGATATTTGGCTATGTGCTAGAGGGTCCCCTGCTGGGCGTACCCATAGCGGGCATGATGGGAGAACAGCCAGCCTGTCTACTGGGTCAGCTCTGCGTGAAGGCGGGTCAAAATGTTTGCACGCTGGACGACAGCTGCTTTGTCCTGCTGAACACCGCCAAGGAGAAGCTGGACTCTGCCACTGGTCTTATAACGGGCATAGCACACAAGCTGGGCCCCGCGGAAGCCACCAACTATACGCTCGAGGGCGCCATCTCCAATGCAGGCTCCACGGTCACCTGGCTGCGCGAGAGGCTGCGCATTAACACTGAGATTAATTCCAACGACAATGTGGTGGAATCGCTAAACACCTTCATCGGTGAGAACTCTATGATCTCGTCCTCCTGCTCCTCTTCGATGTTAAATGCCGAATGTGGTTTGGCGGCTAAGCGGTCAGAGATCACTCTGGTGCCTGCCTTTCATGGCCTGTATGCTCCATACTGGCGGCACGATGCCAGGGGTATAATTTTGGGTCTGAGCAGCCAGACGACGGCGGAGAACATCACGCAGGCCGCTTACGAGGCTACCGGCTTTCAGATCTACGAGGTACTACAGGCATTTAGGAGGGACACGCCCAACTGGGACCGTTCTAGCATACAGCCTGTGCTCACATTTGGCGGCGATTACGCTGAGAACACGCATCTGGTGCAGTTCATTGCGGACATAATTGGCTGTATGCTGGAACGGCCGCAGACTACCTCGCCGGCGGGACTAGGCGTCATGATAGCCGCTGGCATAACCATGCAGGTGGTGTCCCTTCAGTATGCCCTGAAAATGTACTCCCCGCCCACGGACGTCTTCTCGCCGACGACCACGCAGAATCGTAAGTGAAGTTATAGGAAGAATATCTTAATATACAAGTAAATATTCTTGCTTATATATACAGGTCGTGAACTGCTTTACAGACGCTGGGATTATGCAGTCAAGAGGTGTCTGCATTGGAATAACTATGAGACTTACGAGGCCGATGTCGAGCTCTTTGGCCAACGCGAACTTGATCCCAATTTACCCGTTCGTCGTTCTTTACCCGGCAGCTTGTTCCTGACCACATCGTTCGCTCTGCTCTTGCTGGCCAACTATCTAAAGAGCAATCCCCTGAAATAGTGGAGAAACAACAGGATTATCAGCATCAGCCGCAGTTCAAGTTCTAGTCAGCTTTCAAAATTTATTGTTTAGTTTAGCTTGTAAAATTTTATTTAGTTCATTTGATATTTGTATATAGAATCCCATTAGTTTTTGCCAGAGTTGTAGATCAAAATATTTGTGATTCACCCCGTATACACCACTATATTCTACATATATACCATAGATATATACAGTTTCGTAAGCTCACTATCTTCTCTGTGCTTGTGTTCCTTGCTTAACCCCAAAGACAATTGTTAAAGATGAGCACAAAAGGACGAGTTAAGCTGACGAATGTGGTAGAAAACTGGTGTAGATTGTGTTTTACAGGAGCAGGAGAAGGATGAGCACAAGTGGCCAGCCAGTGTTTGCCAGTGAAATCCATTTGCCAGTTAATTAGCTGGCTAGGCTCCTTCGCGGAGCATGCATTCATTCATCACCTGCTCCAGCCACATTGAATGCAGCTCAAGTTATTGCGCTTATTGTTGACACGCGAATCGTTGCGAGGCCAGGAGCTGAAGTAGGAGCTCCTGTAGCAGCTGTGCCCGTGCATTTCCGCCTGCAGGCAATGTGCACTTGAACGCGACTCCACCCCGGCTCCAGGAAGTGGTGGCAGGAGCAAGGTGAGCCCTTGGCTGTTGTCTCTGCTGCTCCTGCTGCACTACGTTGTCGTCCAGCAGGCAGGCGAGGAGGCACTCATTCAAATGAGTTTTTATGCGCGAGCGTTTGCCAATTCCCCTACGGCCCAAAGAGTGAGTCTTATGATAGGCATTACAGGTAGTTGTGAAGTGGGTAAAATCAGAATATCAATTTGTTTTGTTGAATTAAAAGAAAGTTTACTATTTGTTTTGTTGAATTAAAAGAAAGTTTACTATTATTTTAAAATACTTCAGTAGGGAATCCCAAATAAAATCTGAAATTTAAGAGTGGAGTTGTAGCAGCAATTGCTAAATAAATTAACATTTATTTACATCTTAAATTACATAATTTGCTGTTATAAGCAACTTAAGTATACCATAAATATAATAGTTAATTTAACCAACAACAAATGAAGCCTTTAGCAATAGAAGCTAATATTGAACTATAGCAGGGATTAAATAATTCACGTATACATAGGGGGCACAATAAACTCAATTTATTAAATCGAACTGTTTAAATAATGTACTGAAATAATCAATATAAATTACATCAATAAAATACAGTTACAACTTGTCAAAGGAATTTAAAGTTCTACAAACCTTAAATATTTTACATTGAGTTCCTGTTCTATTAAAGAAATAATAAAACAAATTACAATATATAAATAAATTAAAATTGATTAAAATTGAAATATATTATTACACATATAATCAGAGTATTATTTAAATAGATTGTTGATTAAATAAAAGATGTTAATAAAAAAAATTTAAGTTATTTTTTAATAATTGGATGACAGTCCGAAAATATAAGAAAAGTAGATAAATATTATATTTGCTTTTAGCGGTATTTCTTAAAACCAAAACTAGAATAACACATGAAAACTTAATACCCATTCTAATGACATTCCCAGACATTTTCTCTATAAAGTATTTATTAATATAGTAAAGTAGTATTTATAAATATAATATAAAATTACTGCAGTAATCAAGTTATTAAATAGTTAATAATAGGAACAATTCTTTCGGAAGAGAATTCCTTGAGATTTTGACCTCCTAGATATTCTTTTATCTTTCTTTTAGTAGCTATTAAATTAAAATATTTCATCAATAGATCAAAGTCACAGTATATGGATAAATCTATCCTTCGTAGCTCATTCAAGCAGCCTGCTATAGCCGAGCTATGAATCTCAGCCACATATTCCTATCCGCTTCCTGCCAAATTGGTTTGCATTCGAAGACAAAAAATGTCCACGATGGAGCGCAGCAGTAAAATGTGAAATTTGTGCAAACAGTGAGGAAAGGCAGTTCCTCCTTCTTTTTCTCCCCCTTACAAAAAAACCCCTTTCTTCCACAAATCTCTATTGGAGGAAGGACTTTCCTGGGGGCGTGGTAGAGCCAAAGACGCGAGCAAACTTTGCACGTAGTCAATTTAAATAAATTAACACGCTGTTGTGTGAGTGTTTGTGAGGGGATAGATAAGGAGTCCGGACAGAGGTGGTTACTCCGGCATGTCCCACTGTGCTGCAATATGCCAAAATACGAGGAATTGGACATGGCCACGTAGAAGAAGCCGGGACAATGTCTCATGGTCAGGCTGGGCGGGAGGGTAACCACTGGCGGTATCAATGTCCTCTCCCGGGTGGTTTCCCTTCGGGTGCAATGCTCAGGGGGTTGGGTTGGGTGGCCATTCAGCCATTTCGGGTGTTTTGTGCGACTGCCACAACGCATAAATCTTCAAGTTTATGGCATCAATAAATGTCGGGGCAAAGTAATGATTTCGTCAAGTTCTCCCGGCCTTTGTGCAACGGCACAAACCGAGAAATTCTACCCTCAACGTTGACTGCATTCACACCACCCGGGGTGGCTCGTAAGCTTCAGAAGGAGCTGGAAGTGGAGGAAAGGGAAAAGGAGGAGGAGATGGAGCAGGAGAAGGAGGAGTATAAGGATGAGGAGTTGGTATCGGTATAACTGGGCACCAATCGAGCTGCGAGACTTAAGTCAGGCTCCATGCAGAGAAAGGATATGGAACTTTGAACATAACTAATGCGATTTATTTGGATCGTTTTGTGGGAATATATATTTAAATACATAGGAAAATGTTATAATTTATTATAATTCTTCTTAATTCTTGCAGTGCAGTTCGTTCACCTTCACCAAAATAATTTGTGGGCGTGTTGACGTCGCCTCCTTAACGAAAGGAGCTGAAAGGCTTCACACATTCGGCGCACAATTTATTTATTGGGCGAAATTTGCGAGTAACTTTATGGCTCTGGGGCCCGGGAGGAACTCATCTGCATATGGGCCCAGGAAGAGCTACAGTCAGGAGGAGCTCGGCTTTATCAAACCGGATCCGGAGCAGTAGCTCTGCTCCTGACACAAAGTTTTTACGCACTTTTTACGAGGCAACAACACCCCGCCCTCGTTCGCATGGCAGGCCGTCATAAAAATGTCGTAAATTCGCTGAAGCGAAAGTTTTCCAACCGAGCTGAGCTTGGGCTGCCGCTCGCTCTCTCTTTCGGTGCCATCGTAAAAACCTTAATTAATTTTCTAATCAACATTTTTCGCCTGCATGTAAATCGTCTGATTTGCCGCCGAGTCCATTTTGAGCCAGTCCCCGCTTATGTGTAGCATAATTCCAGGCGCTCCTCCTCCGGCTCTCGGAGTAACCAGAGTACTTCGGCTCCATTAGCCGGCCTGGCCAGGGTTCTGGCCGGGTTAAGTCAGCTGCGATATGTCAAAGTAAACGGCTATAAAGTCCCAACTCAACTGGAAGCCAGGGGGCGGGGCTCCCAAACTGGCGCCAGTAGTAAAAAGTTGCGTGCTCTGCGTTCGGATGATGATTCTTGGCATTGTTTTTGGTGGTGTTTACTTAGTTCGTTCGTTGGTATTTTGTTTTGATACTAGTTTATGCAGAGAGAGAAATATGTTATGAATCTAGTTATATAGTTATATATAGAGAATATATAGATTTTAGTTTATGTTTATGTTTATGTTTAGTTTATGGCGTAGAAAAGGGACATATTAAAAGGACTCTTAAAGGATATCAGAATTTTAGTTAGAAGCTTGCACCGCAGTGAAGAAGACATTTCCGACCCTATAAACCATATATATTCTTGATCAGCATCAACAGCCCAGTCGTTCTGGCCATGTCTGGTTAAAAAATAATTTGTTTACATTTTTCCGAAAATTGAAAATTTTATAAGGGGTTACATCATTAAAATTGCCAAAATTTGACAAAAAATTGAATTTTTTAAATTTGAAAACTGGGTATGCAGCTTTGTTAATCTGCTAAAAAATAGCATAGAACAGCTTTCCGAATTAAAATTAATGATTTTTTGGCTTAGTTATGAGTTTTTTAAAACTATGATTTTTTCGAAAAATTGTCTGTTTTTATGCCTTTATGCCGGTTTTTATGATTTAAGTCAAAAACTGACAACAACATCAACAAACGCAGTATGCAGATTTGTTAGTGCAATAAAAACTAGCATAGAAAAGCTTTCCGAATTAAAATTAGTGCAATTTCAGCCTAATTATGATGTCCGGAAAACTTTGATTTTGTTAAAAAATGATCTGTTTTTATACCTTTTTGAAGAATATAATTTAAGTCAGAAGGTTTTAATGCAGTGAAGGAGTCGTTTCCGACCTTATAAATCATATCAAGAATATGATAAGCATCAACCGGCGAATCTTTCTAGACATAAAGCAGAGAAACAAATTTTTCGCCAATTTTTCAAGAAATTATTAGGTTACATCGTTAAAATTTATAAAAATGGAAAAAAATTTCAAATTTTTTAAATTTAAAATTGAGTATGCGCAGGTTTATAAACCTATTCAAAACTAGCACAGAACAGGCGTATTCCGTATCGAAATAAATGCATTTTTGGCTTAACTATGAACATTTATTTAACTTTAATTTTCTATTTTCTTCAGAGTATAAAATACTACAAAACGGTTCCATGATCCAATTGAAAACTTCAAATGTATACAAATTTCGACTACCCGAATTTAGATATATAAACTCTATATTAAAAATGTAACCCTCATTAAAAAGCCAATCGTTTGTTGGTTTTTCCAACCAAAAACACTTTAAATATGACGTAAAATGGCATAAATTAATTAAATATATTTAATAAATAAACCAAATAAAGATTAGTTATTTCTCTATGTGCAGCAATCCAATTGAAGATTATTAGGAAGAAGTTTCTGTGAGAGAAAACCCCAGCAAGCTCCCTCATCCAACCAGCGCCGGATATCACTCATTCGCCCCGTCAGCAGCACCACCAGCAGCAGCGCTGCCCATGCCAATTAAGTGAGAATTTCGGTTGATTCTCCTTTTTTTGTGCACAACTGCATAGCACAGCACAAATTAATTTAAATATTTAAAGAGTTTAATTATTTTTTAACTGCCCAACAAGGACAGGCCTGAAGGGAGACGGGAGAAGCAGGAAAGCCAGAAGCCAGGAGCCAGGAGCCAGGAGCCATGGGGCAAGTGCCATGATCCGGGGCCATAACTGCAAGGCAACCTGCAGGGTTATATGTGCATGAGGATGAGAAGACGAGGATGTCGACAAC